TATTTTATTAATATATAATATATTTAATATAAATAAAATATTATTATAATATAAAATAAAGTATTAATTATATTTAATAATAAAATAAATTATAATATTAATATTTAAAAATATTTTAAAATACTTTATATAAATATTATCCTTTAATATAAATATTAAAGTTAAAATATTTTATTATAAATTATTATTATAATAAAATTAATTAAATAAAAATATTTAATTTATTAAATATAAAATATAAATTTAATTAAGATTTCTATTAAATTTAATATTAAGTTAAATATTTTATATTTAATTTTTAAAATTAATAAAATATTATATAATTTATATTTATAAGTTTTTATTTTATTTTTTATATTATAAAGTATATTAATTAAAATATTATTATTTATTTAAAGAATATTATATAAATTAATATTTTTTTAATTATATATAAAGTATTTTTAATAAAAATTATTTTATAAAATATATCTTTATAATTATTATAACTTTTATAGTTATTATAATTATTATAATTATTAAACTTAATATTTTAATTATTATAAAAAGAGTAAATATTTACTTATCTAATAATTATATCTACTTACCTAGTTTTTTTTAATTACTTACTTAATATAAAAATTTATATATAAAGCCTATATAAAACTATATATCTAACTAGAATTCTTTAAATTTTTAATACTTTTAATATAAGCCCCTTCTAACACCCCTTCTAGCACACCTTTTAACATACCTTCTAACCTATATATATTTAAGTACTAACTAAGTATTTAAATACTAATTAAATACTAGAAGGCTAGAAGTTTAAAGGGTTAAAAGGTTAGAAGGAGGGTTAGAAGGCTAGAAAGTATATAGTCTTTACCTTTACCTTCTTAACTTTTAACCCTCTAGTGTTTAATTAGCATCTAAACGCTTAGTTAGTACCTAAATATATATAGGCTAGAAGGTATACTAAAAGGCATACTAGAAGGCATACTAGAAGGCATACTAAAAGGCGTACTAGAAGGTATACTAGAAGGTATACTAAAAGGCGTGCTAGAAGGCGTATTAGAAGGTATACTAGAAGGTGTACTAGAAGATATACTAGAAGGTATACTAAAAGGCGTACTAAAAGGTATACTAGAAGGTATATTAGAAGAGGCTTATACTTAAAGTATTAAAATTAGAGAAGGAAATTATACTATAAAGTCTTTTAATATTAACTTAAAAGGTACTTATAAATATAAAGGAGTTACTTAAAAAAATTAATATTAAATAAGTAGTTAATAGAAATTAAATAAATAAATATAATTATTAGGTAAGTAGATATTAGCTTAAATCTAAAAGTTTTATAAAAAATTATTATAAAAGTTATTTTTATTATAAAAGTTATTTATATTATAAAATTTATTATAATATTTATTATAATATTTATTATAAAAATTATTATTATTATACTTTTAATTTATAAAATATTAATCTTTTTATTAAGTTTAGTTTTATTTATAATAAATATATAATTTATAAATTATTATAATTAATAAGTTTATAATAAAATATTTAAATTAAAATATAAAGTTTTAATTAATATTAAAAGTTTATAAAATATTATAATAAATTTAAATATACTTTTAATTATATATAAAATATTATTTTTAATAAATTAATTATTATAATAATTACAAACTTAATAATATATATTTAATTTATTAATTAATAATTATAATATTTTAATTTTTAATTTATTAAAATTCTTTTAATATAAATTAATAAAATTAATATATTTTAATTAATAAAATAATTTTAATAAATAATATTATTATTAAAATATAATTTTATTTTAAAATAAATTATTTAAAATAAATTAATTTACTTAATATTATATAAGTAAAATATCTTAATAATATTCTTTAATATATATAAAAGTTATATAAAATTATATTAATTAAATATTTAAGTTTTATATATATTAAGAAAAATAAAACTTTATTATTAAATATATTATAAACTTAATTAAAATATATTTTATTATTATAATAATATTTATTAATATTAACTATTATATTTAATTTAAATAGTTTATTAAAATATTTTATTAATAATAAAGTATAATATATTATTAAATTTTATATTTTTAAAGTATTTTTAAAATTATTATTTTTAAAGGATTTAAAATTAAAAGATAATAAAGATAAAAATAAAGATCTATTAAGTAAATCTTTTAAAGCCTTTATTTCTTTTATTAAATTTATAATATAATTTATTATTATATTTATTTTTCTTTTTATTATCTTTTTATTTTTTTATTTATTATTATTAAATCTTAAATCATTATTTAAATTATTATATTTATATTATAATAATTTCTTTTATATTTATTATATATTTTATTTTACTTTTTTACTTTTATAAATATCTTTTTATTTTTATTTTTATTATTTTTTATTTTTTTAAATCTTTAATAATAATGATTTTATTTTTAATTTAAAATTATTTTTTAAATTAATTTATAATAAAATAAAACTTTATTTAATTCACAAATTTTTAAATTAATTATTAAGTTATTTTAATATTTTTAACTTAATAAAAAATTAAATATAAGTAAGTTTTAATAAGTTTTAAATTAATTTATATATTTTAATATATAAAATTATTTTTAATTTTTAAAAATTCTTTTATTAATAATTATAAATATTTTTAATTTATTTATTAAAGTTCTTTATAAATACTTTATATAACTTTTAATATTAAAGTATTTATATATTTATAAATATTATATAATATATATATTAATTTATATTATATTAAACCTTTATTTTAATAAATTTATATTTTATAATTTAAAGTTAATATTATATATATAAACTATTTTAAAGTATATTTTATTTTATATTTTAATAAATAATAATATTAATTATAATAATAGATTTAATAAATCCTTAAAAGGAATTATTATAAGTAATTATTAAAATAATAAAGAGATTAATCATAAAGGAATAAATATATTAATAAAATTATATTATTTTAAAGGTTAAATATAATTAATTTAGGAAATTAATAAGTTCTATTAATAAAGTATAAAAGATTATTTATTATAATATTAATTTAAAGGTATATATAAATATATTAAAAACTTATTAATTAAAAATAAATAAAAGTTTAATACTTAATAGAATTAATTTATAAAGTTTAAAATATTATTAAAATATAAAGAAAGGTTTAATAATAAAATAAATAAAGAAGTTTAAAGTCTTAATAAAGTTTTTATTTATATAAAGTATAATAAATATTTATAAAAGGTAATTTTAAATAATAATATTAAATTAAATATTAAATATTTAAAAGGTTATTTAGATTTTATATTTAATAATTATTAAAATATTTATAAAAGTTAGTTTTTAAATAAATTATATAACTTTATTTTATTAATTAAAAGTAATTATATTAAATAAGTTATATAAGTTAAATAGAATTTAATAGCCTTAATATAATTACTTTTAAATAGTTAAGTTATAAAGTAATAAATTATTTTATTAATTTAACTATTTATAATTACTTTTATAACTATTAATTAATATTAGTTAGGCTTATATATATAAGGGTAGAAAAGTAGTATTAAAAGTGGTTAATTATTAGTAACTAACTATTAAAGGGTTGCTTAAAGGGTTTATATAGGTGAATACTTTTCTATTAACTAAGTCTAATAAAGGACTATTATAACTACTATATTTATTAACCTTTTATATTATATATAAAATTATTTAAAAGTAATTATTTAATTTATAATATTATTAAATTAAAAATAAATAAAAGAAAATATTTATTAATAATAAAAATATTATTATAAAAATTAATCTTTATTTTTAAAAGGTTATTATTATTTAAAATAATTAATATATTTTTAATGAAGTTTAAAAAGATAAATCAAATAAAATAATACTTTATAATATTTAATAAACTTTTAAATTATATATTTTATTTAATAATAATATAAATTTAATTTTATAAAGTATTTCTTTTTATTTACTTTTATATACTTTATATTCTTATTATTTATATAAAAGATTTATTTTTATTTTTAAAACTTATTATTATAAAAAGTATAATAAAGTTATTTTTAATTTTAATATAATTTTATAAAGTTTTTATTAACTTAAATTATTTAATAATATTAAAAAGACTTATAAGTTAAAAGAGGTATAAATATTTTAACTTTAATTAAATATATTAATTAATTTAACTATTAAAACTTTTAAAAGTTTAAAATATATTTATAATAATAAGTTAAAATATTAATAATATAAATTAAATATAAAATAATTAAAATATTATTTATTAAAATAAATAAATAGTTAAATAACTTTTTTAAAGAAATTATATATTAAGAAAATAAAAGTATTTATTAAAATACTTTTATAAAGAAATTTAATTTTATAAATATTAATAAATTATAAAATAATTAAATAAAACTTTTAATAAAGTAAGTAAAATTATAAATAGAGTTATATTATTATTTTTATATTAATAATTATTTTAAATATAAAAGTTATTTATAATAAAAAAACTAATTTAATTATATATAAATATTATTAAAATAAATTAAAAAAGAAGTCTTAAATTAAAATTAAATTTCTAATTTAAAAATAAGTATATTATATTTATTTAAAGTTTTATAGTTATAAGTATAAGTATATTTAGAGGGGGGGGCGGTATTTAGGAACCTAATGACTAACCTACTTTGTGGAATACTGGGGCCGATCTTATCAAGTTATGGTCACCAACTTAGGTCGTGACGTCAGGAGGCGATAGGATCACAGGTTACCATCCATGAGTATTCGATTTAGACATGCCATCCATCACTGGTTCTATGTCAAAAAGTAACATTCACAAATACTGCATGCCCAAACGAATCGAGCGAGCTTTGTTTTGTCATTTGAAACACACCACTTGCATTATTTGCCTCTATTCGGCTGTCTTCTTAGTAACAATAATTGTTATTGTGGCGAGTTCGCAGGTCCCAGTCAATACAGTATGAACCTCTTGGCCACCTTACACAGCGCTCGAGTAGCGTCAAAGTCCCAGCTGCTTGGCTTCGTCCGCATCATCGTATCCACCCAGTCTTGATCCCATTCAGAAGTCTGGAGAAACATTCCTAGGTCCTCCCAGTAGTCGGGCATGAATGCCGCATATTCGAAGTCGAGCAGGCTCTTCACTCGGCCTTCCGGGGTGGTGATGAGGTTCCTCGGGTGAATGTCACCGTGTGTAAATACTGCTGCTTTGCAGCGCGGGAAGTTGGTCTTCACATTTTCATCTGTACCGTGGGAATCATGGTACTGCTGTAGTATGAAGTCCCTGAAAGCACTGTCGGTGTTGTGCCAATTCTTATCTAAGGGGGCCGCAGACTGCCCAGTCAAGCCACCCTGTGGGTATAACGGGGATCCATCAACCGTTGTGTAGAGGCATTCCTCCGATGAAATTTCATCAGGCCGGGGTATTTGACGAAGAGTCTTGATGATGTTCCAAATGTCGCGGCAAGCTTGTTCCTTCTGGTTGGTATCAAGGCTTGGCCACACTTTCTCTAGTGTCTGACCGGGAACCTCCTGCATGAAGATGATTCCGTGTTTTGGATTTGTGAAATCGCAGAAGTACACATCCGGTATTGGTACACTTGGTGCATGTTTGCGGACGTATTGCATCGCAGCACTTTCGCTGCTCCGGGTGCCCCGACTCAGCTTGATCAACACGCCCTCTTCGTATTGGAATAACCAAGCACGTCCCCGCCGACGAGGCAAGTGCGGCATGCTTTCACGAAGCATTCCGAACGGGAGGCGGCTGATAATTCGTTTGTTTGAATGTGGATCTGCGGCATCTACGACCGTCGTTCCCGTGGTAGTAGTTGTAGTTGATGACATGGTGGCTGCGGTGGGGGCTGAGGGGCTCCGGATTTGATTGGTTGCAAGGTTTCCTTGAGCATCGCATATCAACATGAGGGTAAGTGCCTCCAATAAATAAGTAATTCAAACCGCTCATGGCCAGGACATTGATGGAAAGGAATGCACCCCTGGCTGAGTAACAAAGGAGAGTGATTGAAACTGCTTCGGTGACTGTGTGCGTCTTCTTGTGCCGGCGTATCTTTGTCACTTCGCCGTTTGAAAGACAATGTCATTGTGTACGCTTTGTATTCAGGCTTCCAAGTTGGTTTATCCAGCCTGAAAAAACATTATCACCACACTATGCATGGGTTCAGTTGTGTAATCTTTTGGAGTCTAGCAATCCTCAAAGCCCAGGACACGCTTCATCGCTAGGTACCTAAATTGCACAATATCGTACACTTTAATGGTGCTCTTTTAGCTATTGAAGCATTTAAAAGAATGAAGCTGACCTCAGAGATCTTAGATCATGTCTCTTACTAGTGTTTGAAGGTAACACACAATGACCTCTTTCAGTGGACACCCGTATTTGACTTGCCCGGTCTGATAGTGCATAGGAGCACAAGAACAACTTCATTGTTAGGTGATACGCGTGGTAACTCTGATTTCAATACCATACGTTGAACAGTAAACTTATTTAAGACAGTTGAGAATACTGTAAGACTGATCATCACCACGATCACTCAATCACGAGTTCTTTAAATCCCAACTTCTCATTTGCAGCTGGATTCAACTCAGTTTTCACAGCGAAATTTCAATTGACCCTTCAAAATGGCCAGCACAACCTCCGGACAGTGTATTTGCGGATTCCCACGGCAGTGCTCCGGCGCAGAACTCGTGGGAACCATTCGCATAGTGTTCAAGCACGAGTATCTCGAAACACACAGCGGTAGTACATACCGTCGACAGCATATATGCGGGTCTAACTCCACCAACTGGACACGGGTAACCACTGAAGTGGTAAGGCCGATGACCCCACCTCCGGACAAGTCCCTATGGGTCATCCGCCAGCGTCAGGAAGGCAAGGGCCCTCACTGGAGTCTCTTTGCCGCCGTCGACGATGATTCTGACAGCCCAGTGGGCAGAGTCTGGCAGGTTAATGGTGACCCCGATGTTGGAATGTACTACGCGCACCGTGAGAACAGTGAGTCTGGCGTCGGGATTCAAATGTTTCTCACCGCCGCGTTTGCTGACGATGTCTTTGTTTGCAGCAACCTGTCGGAGCATTGGGAGGCCAAGGTTGACAAGATCGCGAACACCATCAAGCCTCCAGGGCCCATTGAAGGTGTACCTCGCAGGAATAATGACCATAGGTGCAACTGCATGAACTGGGTGTGGCAAGTCCTTGAAGAACTTGTGAAGGAAGGTATTGTACCAAGCGAAGCCGCTGAGAAGGCAAGAAACCTACCTGATCTCGAGCCTACTGAGTAGTCCAAATCGCTGACCGCGTCTGTCCAATGCCTCCATGGCTACCCAGGCAGCCCAAAAGGAGCCCTCAGATTCGAATACAATTATGTTTTGGCCTCATATTGTAAGAGTAACTTCCATTATGCTAGCCCGTCTGCCGTCCATCCACCTAAGTTAAGTATGTGGTTTCGCTTCTATTCTATATATATCTAAGAAAATGAGTAATTTAAATAAAATTTAATTTAATATAAATTATACAAATATTTAATAAAAACCTTATTAATATATTATTAAAATAGTTTTAAAAAAGTTAAAATACTTTTTATAAGTATAATATATATAGTTTTACTATTAAGTTAAAAGTAAATAGTTAGAGTTTTAAAACTATAAAGTATAATATATCTTTATATAATATATATATAATTAATATAAATAATATTAATTAAAATAAAATTAATAAAATTAGTTTTATATTTAATAAAACTTAAGAATATTAAGTATAATAATTAATTTTATATTATTTATATAAATTTTAATTATATTATATTATAAAGTTATAATATATAATAATATAACTTAATAAGTTACATAAATATTATTATAAAACTTATATAAAAGTAATTTAATTAATATTAAATTAAATATAATTAGTAATATTAATTTATATAATTTTAATATAAAAATTAACCTTTTAAAAGTATTTATAATATTAAAACTAATTAGTTTACTACGTTTAATATCATTCTTAATTTTTAATTATATTTTAACTTATAATAAAATAAGAATATATTAATAAAACTTTATTATAATAGAAAATTTAAAAAGTAAGATTAATAAAACTTAAAGATAATAAATAGTCTTTTATAACTTCTTAGAATTTTAAATTTTAATATAATTAACGTAAATAGTATTAATCTAACGATCTATAGTAATATTCTTAAGAATTAATATTAGGAGGTTATTATTATAAACTCGGACTATAACTAAGTAAGGATTTTAAGCTAGGCGTTCACGGCTAGGAAGATAGCCGTTAACTTAACAGCACTATTTAGGAAGCATAGGAAGACGCGCGTCTCTATGTCGCAGTTAAGGGGCGGCGCACGACTAAGAGCTATCTTTAAAAGTTTTTTTTTTTAAATATCTTTTAAACATTTAATATCTATTTAATATCCTTAAGTTTAAAGCTTAAAGCGTCCTTATTAAGCCTACCTTATTTAATTACTAGTATTAAATTATTAAGTTAGATTAAATTACTTTACTTAAATATATACATTCTAATTATATATATTTTATACCCTACTATATAGCGGCATTGTAAGGAGACTGGCTTGATGTCTTTAAGCTTTGTGGGATGCTAGTATAATGAACGCCTGGGAGATGGTGAATTGCAGGGGCCTGTAACATTGCCTGTTGAAATCAGCTTCATGAATAGCCGGACACACAGTACTTCCAGTTCTCACACCGTAGTCGGATATGGTGTAATGGTTAACATCGGTGACTCTCACTCACCAGCTCGGGGTTCGATTCCCCGTATCCGAGAACGTTACATTTTTGCTATTTCTTCTATTGAATTTTTTTTGATCAGTATGCCTGGTGGCCAGCTTATTTTGAACCCAGTGAGCGAATACTGTGATTGTTGGTTTGCTGATCCTCAGCTGATGATGGGCGGTCCGTACCTGGGCAGACTAATATCATCTAAATGGTCACCACCCCTGTTAAAATTGATTACCTCCCAATTGCAATGGAACATTGAATAAAAAGTACAATGGTTGTGTATTAAATATGACGTTCGTGCTGTGAAAATTGACACCAGCTGAGATTTTTTTAGCAACGTTAGCCATCTTCATTTGCCACACCATCTTCCCGCTCACCTCTCTCGCCTGTCTGAGTCACGGGCTAAAGAGGCATCTAGCAGATATTGCTATGTGCCGAGGGCTCTACCCACCCACACTACACAAAGCAATGAAAATCTTCTTTAGTTTTTCAACAAGAAAAAGGACAGAGCATCCAGTACAATGTGCGCCAAATCTGTGACGAATAGTCACATACTCATTCCTCTCGCCCATCTTACAATTTATATATAAGCCACCAAAATTTGTTATTTCCATGTATACAGATTAACAATTTTAGAAGCCAATTTACTTCCAGTCATATAATTTCCACAGCCTGAACAATACCCGCTATGCCGATTGCCGGGCTGCGATCTTAGTCGTGGTCGACAGGGGCTCGGCAGTGAGGGGGAATTTGTCGAATTTTCTCCACATCCAAGAACCAAGTGCTGCGAACGAGGATCTGGTCGCCTGAGCGGAGACGATTCGGGGAAACGGGAGCCGAGCTTCAACGTAAATATCGTATGGAGCGCCTGATGTTTGCTCGTCGGTGAGGCGCGAGAGCTGCCAGGACTCAGCAAAGAAGTTGTCAGACTACTTACGATGGTGAAACACGCGCTGAGCTTACAGCAGCTGGGACTTTGGGGCCTTATAGCCGCATCAGGTGCTTCAGCCCAGGCGACACCATGGGAGCCATACATCCTGAGCCCGTCTTCGCGTACGGTTCGTCCCGTCAACGTTTCGGTCGTGGGCGGGAATCATGAGATTTCGTCCGATGCGGAAGGGTACGTCTTGTCCCTCGACACGGGGGCGCAGGCTAGCCTGGACTTCGGCGTCGAAGTCGGTGGACTCATTACCTTGAGTATCACGACCTCGGGGGACACGTCCGAAGGTCCCCAGCTGTCCCTGGCATTTGCCGAGTCTCCCGCACATGTTGGGCCAATATCGGACGATGCGACTGGCTCAATAGCCTCACAGGACTGGGACAGGGAGCTCAACGTCACCGTTGACGCTGGAAATGCGGTCATTTACACAATGCCCCAGGAGAGGTTCAGGGGCGGGTACCGCTTCATGACCATTGTTGCAAAGGCGCCGGTGACCATATCCAACATCACCTGTGCAATTGGCTTTTCACCGTCACAGGAGGACCTGCGGGATTACTCTGGCTACTTTTACGCGCCCGGCCAAGACCTTCTGTCCAGGATCTGGTATGCAGCAGCTTATACCGCTCAGACCAACATTGGGCCAGTAAACACGGGCCGTCACCTGCCGCAGATCCAGCCTGGTTGGGCATACAACTCCAGCACCGGGGTCGCAGGGCCGGTGCTGATGGACGGAGCCAAGCGGGATCGTGCAGTATGGCCGGGCGACCATGGCATCTCGGGCCAGAGCGCCTTCCTGGCGCTCGGCGACGTCGGCCTTGAAGCGTTCAACAACTCGCTCGAGACCATGTTCTACTACCAGAACGTGAGCGGCCGGTTCCCTTATGCTGGGCCATCGACGCGATCTTTCAACTCGGGCAAGGAGAGCGATACTTATCACGCCTGGAATCTCATCGCCATCTCCCATTATGCTGCTTTTACCGGAGACGAGGAGTGGGTGGAGCGGCATTGGGCTAATATCACGCACGGTGTGGGATACATTCTCAACGGGATCGACGAAGACGTCGGCCTCCACAATCAGGTCGGAGCCAACGACTGGGGCCGCCAGGGTACTGGCGAATTCAACAGTGCTCTAAATGCCCTCGACTATGGTGCACTGATTTCAATCTCGTCTCTCGCCAGGGCCCTGAACAAACTAGCTGAGGCAGATGCATGGAGCACCGCTGCAGAGGGCATCAAGGAGGCGTACAACAAACACCTTTGGGATGCGGACTCATCACTGTACACCGACAACACAACAACATCGCTCCACCCCCAAGATGGCAACGCGATGGCCCTTTTCTTCAACCTCACACAGGACACCGCGCAGGCCGAGGCCGTCAGCAAAGCCCTCGAGACCAACTGGAATGAGTTCGGCCCCGTGACACCGGAACTGCCCGACGTCATCTCCCCGTTCATCTCAGGCGTCGAGGTGCTCGGCCACTTCGCAGCAGGCCAGCCGGACCGCGCCCTGGAGCTGACAGAGCGGCTGTGGGGGTACCTGCTCGACTCGCCCGAGATGACAGGCAGCACCTTCGCCGAGGGCCTCGCGGCCAACGGCAGCCTGTACTACCGCGGCGCGTCGGGCTACAACTACGACGCGGCCTACACCAGCATGAGCCACAGCTGGTCGACCGGGCCCCTGGTCGCGCTTACCACCAAGCTCGCGGGGCTGGAGCTCTCGGGCTGGTTCAGGTGGACGTTTGCGCCGCGGCCGGGCGGTGGGGTGAGCGAGGTGCAGAGCGGGTTCACGAGCCCCTTTGGCGAGTTCAGCGTCAGCTGGAAGCTGGACCAGGGTACGTTCACTGCCAATGTGTCTGTTCCTGAGACTACTGCGGGTGAAGTCGTTCTTCCCTGGGAATGTGACGCAGTAAGAATTAATGGCCAAGACTGGACTGGGACGACTGTGAATCGAGTAACAACCTTTGTAGTAGAAGCGGAAGGTTGCGATGTAGATCACTACTAGTGTTAGAAGTAGGCCAATGGTATACTGACGGTGTTCTACCATGCCTCGTCTTGCTTGATGAAAATTGGTACAAAGTTTTCTTTTCACTGCATTAGTCTTGTTTAGTCATTAGATCCCTCATCTAAACCATCCGTTGCTCACAGTACCTAGATAAACGATACTCTTATTGGTGCCATGAAAATTAGTTTATTTCGTAATGGGCCATGTTTCAAAGGAGGATATCTCAGTTCTCGTTACACCGTATGAATGCGTCATATATGTCATCGGATGTATGCGGAATAGAAGCGAAACCAGTTAATTCTTGTTATGAATACCAGTTGTACGCTGCACACAGGGCCGGCCTCCCCGTGGCGGGCGGGGGAAACCTTCCGGGTGATGACCGGAGGGAATAGAAAATCGTGGTACCTCTTTCTGAATTACCACATCGGGGCCTTCTCCATTAATAACTCCAGAATTGGCCTTTCTCGGGGCCGCTCCGAAATTCTTACGGGATTGTCCTTCTAAGAAAGCTTCTTCAACAACAACAACCGAATACAACATACTAGCCAAAACATTGTCCAACCAGCCCCTATGGACACTAATGCTCACTATTAGTAACTAGCCGTTTTTGTGCGCCGGTTCAAAACTTCAGAGATAGGCCCAAGCTAGCGAGCGCACAGATTCTAGGTTTATGTTTCGCCTCTTAGAAACCAAAAGTTGGTGCTGGTGAGCAGATTAGAAAGACTATAAGATTTCTCACATGGCCTCTGAAAGCCACATTCCACACCCATGACTACCCGCTGAGTCAGACTGAACAAATCATCATGGCGCCAATTATCACCACACCATCCACGAAGGGATGGACTCACCTGCCAGGAGAGCTTCAGAATATGGTTCTCGAGCAATGCACGTGGCCCGCACACGACCAGCTCGCCGTCCTTGCCACCGTCTCCCGAGGCTGGCAGGAGTTCTTTGAAGGCGAACTGTTTAAACGCCTGACTCTCAAGACTGTGGTGTAAGCATCACTTTTCACCTTTTACGGATCCCCATCTTTCATGTTTTGGAATGTTCTAGAATACAACACTTTAGGACCCGTAGCAGGACTAACTTCACCACTAGAGACATACAAAATTTCGCAAAGCTGGTTCAAGGTAGGAGAAGGGCACATGTGAAGTGGATATGGCTGCGTGTTGAGCTGCCAATGTACGACTGCCAGCACTGCCATCGCATCGACACTCGAGGGGAGGTGGTTGCCCAGAAGCAAATCTTCACCAATCTTGTTTGGGCTCTATTCGATGTCCTATCCGGTTGGAAAAACAATAATGAGGTCTGCCGTGGTGGTGTCACCCTCGAGTTGAGCGCACATTCCCCGAGCGACGCCCACCACTTCAATAAGGCCCTCCGATTTCGAATGCACGATACGGCGTGGGCCCGGTCGGATGACCGTCCAGTGGAACCACACAATGACCCATTCCACGGTTGGATGCACGGGAAAATTATCAAGAAGATTCCTCAGGAAGCGAAGTATCGAGTCTTCGGTCGCGGACTGCGCTTTGATTACAAATTATCATGCGTGCGTCGTCTGCGCATGCGACTGCCCAAGGTCTCTGTGGTCTCCTCGCTCGTCATACGGCGACAGTTTCACCGTGCTATCGCGGCCTCGAAAGCCCTCAATACCATGATTCTCAGCCTGACACGCCTGAGTAGCTTCTCTTATGAGCCTTGGCGAGGGCCGACGGCCGTGTATCAAATGCATCAAGGCCGTTCATACGTAAATATTGCGTTCAAGGGGCTCAAAGCGAAGAGGAAGACGTTGAAGAAGTTTTCCATTTTCGAGAGCCACGACGAGACTTTCAGTCCCGTCCCCAAACACGCTATGGGACAGCGCCCTGGCACGATCTGGTTCTCCCATGCCCTGGCTCGGACGAGCCACCACTTGGAGGAATTATACGCGGCAAAAAACGCCGACGCGTACGACTTCCTCTACGCTTTCCAACCACAAGCGCGGCCATCACTGAGAAGATGGATGGTGTGGAGGAACCTGAGGAAGATCTCGCTGACGGCACGGTTATTGGCTCCCGGACAAGACGACCTGATACTTCTCATGGCGGCGGAGGCTGCGATGGCAATGCCGAAGCTGCAGATCATGGAGCTTTGGAACTCTTGGACCAGCAAGGGTATCGCAGCCATCTTCCGCTTCCGGAGGGAGGAGACTGAAGCTACTATCGAGTTATTCAGCACTTGGCCTGGAGGTCTGAGGGTCTCTACGGCAGCCAGAGAGGCTTGGGGTCGTGTTGCGACAGCGCATAGGCCACTGCCTCTTCATTGGAAGCACCGTACTTGGGCTGCGGGGGAGATTGATGGAGAGCATTCCGTGCTGACGAAATTGGAGTTGGTGCAGGATATGCTGAATCCTGTGTCACTGCGGCAGATCGCGCGGGAGGAAAGGGATGCATAGTTTATGGTGTGCGATTTTGCTAGAGAACACTTGAGATATCATACTTGGAACGCATGAAGAATCTTGCTGAGAAGGGCAAACCCCCGTCCGTAAGCATTTCGGAGCGGCCCCGGGGAAAAGGCCAATTCTGGAGCTAATGGAGAAGAATGTGGCAATTCAGAAAGAGGTCAACTGGTACCACGATTTTATCTTCTGAACCCCGAGATTCCTCTATATTCGACACCTCTCCATGAACATTGCACACGTTTCCTGCAGACGTGTGTTCCTCTGAATCCGAGCTTGAGATGATCGTAGTCTACTTTACCACTGAGACTCTCCCTAACTACCTACTGCAATGGCGCTAGCAGGGCATTTCTTACAGTAAATCAGGCTCTAAATAATTAGTCAGGAACTTATAGTAACAGGGTGTATTACAGTAATCTAGTATATTATACTTATTTCTCTAAAGGTATCTTCCTACCTAATTTATTAGTAAAGATACTTATACTTAAAAGTTCTTAATACTTCTAATTATTTTAATATAAAGACTAACCGTTAAAGTCTTACTTTATAATACCTTTTTATTATATAGTATTTCTTCCCCCCCCCCCTCTACCCTCTACCCTCTACCCTCTGCCCTCCGGCTAGTAAGCTCTACTTTAAGAGTTTAAAGATCTTTATTATTATTAACTATAAGGAAGGGAACGAGTAAAGTAGGTAGGCTTATAGTAAGGTACTCTCCTTATTAAATTATAAGGAAAGTATATTTAGAAAAAGTATAATATATTAGATTACTGTAATGTATTGTATTACTATATATTCTGGACTAACTATAAAAAGTCCCCTGAAGGCGCCATTGCAATAGGTAGGTACCTAGGTACCTTCGCACGGGATCACGAGCTGATTGCCTAGGGTACTTTGTTGGAATGTTAGTATTGGAGAACCGCAAAGTTCTCGCCGCCGGACGCGAGAGTAAAAAGGTCGAACCTGCCTCACGCCAGAGCAAGAAGGATTGTTAACTTGGCAGTCTGTAATCATAGTTATCTTGCATAGCTGTGCATGATCTACTGCCAGTCTGTGCCAACGGCCCCTTAACTAATCAAAATAGCAGCATTTGGGGTGTGAGTGAAGGCCGAAAAAGGTTAGCACGGCAGGCCAAGCAACACCCAGCAGGCAGCAGGAACGTGGCGTCCATCGTAATGAGAATACTAGCCTCCTTTCCATCATTAGCGCTAGGCGGCAGCTGCGCTGCCTGGCGCGTCTAAGATGAGGTTCACAAGAAAGACGTGTGCGTATAATGGGATAAAAGCTCGAGGTTCGGGCGCTTTTACTGTCCATAAGAATATTCTACAGTGCATCGTTGAGCAGATACATTCCATTCTATCGTATTAGCCATCTTAGATCTTCCTTCACTGAATCACCACAGCGACAATGTTCACTTTCGATAATGTCAGCGACGGTGAGGTCGTGCACCAGCGTTGTGTGCTTGTCACTGGAAAATACGAGGCCAATGACAAGAAACGTCATGACTACGTACGAATCGAGACGAAAGACGGTGCAGGTCGTGCTCTTTTCCCCGAGCAACGATGGCCAATGTGCCAGGGCTGGTTCAAGGCGATGCTCATCTTGACACCCGGAGAGAACCTCATCAACATCACATCTGATGACGATTCACACAAGAAGAGAGTAAGCCAAGAAAGAAAAAGCATAGCAGAATTAGAACTTGCGAGCATTAACAACTTGAACCTACCAGTTGCGGCTGCAATATATTCCACTTCTCCAGACACCGCCCTTGCATCTGGCCATCCTGGTAGCTAAGGATTCACCGCTGGCAATTGACTGTCCACCGCGCAAATACCATGGCCTCTCAAATGCTCATTCTAGCCTTGAAGCAGCCATCAGCAAGTTCCGGACCACAGCATACATGTGGCAGGCCCTGACAGCTGAAGAGTTGCGCAAGAACGGCCTGGGCCGGCGATCGTTCCGCCTGGAGGAAGAATGGGCAGCTGATACTCTGAGCCAGTCCTTCACAAACGACATGACAATGCAGTCCACCGCCAAGATCCACCTGATCCGAGCAGACAAGACCGTTGCTGAGCTCCGGGATGCACAGCTGGCCCAGCAGAACCCGAACGCGAGGCGCAGGGACGACCTGCACAAAATCTTCAGCGAGGCGCTGCTGGCACACGGGGGCCCCTTTGCCTCCGAGGCAAAGCCTGTCGTCGCTGGCCTGATACTGGACTCACACTACGATACGGGGAGCAATTTGATCCTCGCCCACGCTGCCCTCGGCGCACACAATCCCAACGGCCTATCCCTGGGAATCTTCGGCAGCCACCTGACCTATTCCTGGCCTCGGTTCGTGGAGGAGATCACAGACTGCCTGCTGGACGAGGGCGCGCCGGGAGATCGGGTCGGAAACGACAATGGCGAGTGCGTGTCCATGTGGAGGTCCTGCGCCGTGGGCCAGGGGGCGTTCCTCCACGAGGTCGGCCACGCGTTCTCGGCACCGCACACGTCGGGCATCATGGCCAGGGGTTACTCAAAAGACTGGCCAAAGTGCTTCTTGGCCAAGACTGCGTACTGCGCGCGTGACAAGACCGAGGGTGTCGAGCCTGTAGTGACTGACACACCGAATGACTGCCGGTGGGACGTCCGCGATATGCTCCGCTTCGCAAACCTGCAGCACTTCAGAATGCCTTCGGACTCACCGCGGGATAACAAGCCTCCCAGCTTCGAGGTCTGCGACGATGAGGACTTCACTCGAATTGTCATCACCTGCCAAGCAGGCATTGCGCAAGTTTTGCTTCAAGGAAAGGAGGAAGCCAGCCCCAGCCTCGCCAACCCTCAGACCTCGGTCAAGTACACAATCGATGAGCTCGAGTCCCGATTCGACCTTCTCGAAGCGCTGGAGGTCGAAGTCCTGGGCATGAACGGCAAGCACCAGAAGACCGACCTGTCCCGTCTCCTGTCAAGCAGGTCGTCGATCCGCGTGCCAGGGACCACCGTCCGCCTGCACAAGCAGAGCATCAGCAACGGCGAGCCGCAGAAGGACGACTGGCAGTGGGCAGTGATGCTGAAGAAGCGCGGCCGCGGCGGCGAGCTCGTCCCCGCGAACAAGATCGACCTCAGGGTCGGCTGTGGGCTCGACGGCGCCGTGGTCTACTACAAGGACGGCACGCAGATCCCCTGTGGCCCGCGTGGAAGGAACGGGAATGACCACGGCATGGGCGGCCATCAGGCCCGCAAGATTGCGATTCCCAAGGGCGTGGATGTCGTCAAGGTCGCCGTGACCAAGGGTAGTAGCTGGGATCTGCAGGGGCTGAGGATGTGGCTTTCTAATGGGAAGGCTATGGGTGCCTTGAACCGCGGCCGAGGAAACGGCGTCGTCCAGACTCTTGGTAAGTCTTTCTGCTGCTTCCGAGGTCCTCGCATATGTAATGTGGTACACAATCTCGTACCGTTGCATGGGTGTCGGCGGCCCACAACATTCCACTACAACAACTTGACTGACACAAGGAAAACCAGTCCCGGGACCTAACCAGAAGATCATCGGGTTCTATGGCACGAGTGGCCAATATGGCATGTGTAAGGAGTTCGGAATCGTCACTGGCCCAGCGGATAACCATATCCCCGACACCGTCTATGACATGCCGGAGCTGCAGAACAACCCGGATGGTGGCTCAGGACGGCCATCCAAGCGACGACGCGTTGTAAGTACTCTTTGAAACTCCTGCACAATTCAATAGGCATTTATTCCACGATAATCTGGAATGAGCGATGTGGCTGACCGTGCTTATCTGTAGGATCCGAACCAGTCCGATACTGAGGATGACGGAACGGACACGTCTGAAGATGAGGACACTGGCTATGATGACTCGGACCAGGAAGATGAGGAGTGAGGTTCCCGTTGCTGCGCGTGTAGATCTTGATCTCCCTGTCCAATCTCCTATAGAACATTCGCCACACAGTCAGCTGTATCGGCGCCTGAAACCACTGGCAACCTTTGAGAGCTGGCAGTAGTACCGAGGAAAATCTTCTAGCATGTCTGAGGGATACCAGATTGCAATATGCACAATTGTCTAATCAAACCACTCCCTCGGTGCTGCGACCTCATTGTATCTAGACGCGTACATATTCATACTGAACGATAAACTATGCTCCGTCTATGGCTTCTTTCGCACATCCTCTCGCGTGATTTGCTTGTCGACCAAGATCATGCTGCCAACCATTGCAACCCTCATTTAGACAAGGGGGGTCCTGGGTCACGCGCTGACACTCAGCGTACAGCAAACTGCTTTGGCATGCCGGTGCGAATTAGTTTGCGACGCCTTTATGCGTCTGCGACTCATTACCTGTTCCCTCTGCCGTGCCCTGCGTAAGTCCTACTGGCAGTGGCCTTAGGTGAGTCTATATTAATATGTGACGCCAGTAGCTCCACCATGTCGAGCTTGTTCGACCTGCGTGCCCTTTCCAGTGCCGTAAGGCCCTCAGCGTCGCGAATGTTCAGATCGGCGCCCCTTTCAACAAGTATCTTAGCCTCCTCATACCTTCCGGCATCCGCAGCAGCATGCAGCGGGGTAATCCCGCCATTTGTGTCCCAGGTCTTTAAATTAGGATTGCCACCGTGGTCAAGCAGAGCGTTGAGCAACACCGGGTTGGCACACATGACAGCCCAGTACATGGGGGAGCAACCATCGCCGAAGTACTGAAAGTTTGGATCTGCGCCTTTCTTGACTATTTCCAATGCGACTGGCAGATACCATATGGCGCAGACACAGATGAGGATGGCGTCGCCTGGATGTGTGCTGTCAGCGTCATTCTTGGCCACCTGATATAAAATCAGAATACTCACGGGCAACTGGGAACACCACATTGACATCAGCACCGTGTGCCAGCAACAGTTGTGTCATGGGGAGACTGTCAGCCGCCATTTTGAGGGGATTGTAGTCTCGATCCTCGGTCTTCTCCACAAGTAGTTTATGACGAGACTCGGTCCTACTGGGTTTGCGGGCACCAGGGGGGAGGATCGTATCCACGTTGGCCCCCCTATCGATCAGCAGCTTCGCATCATCCAGGCGATCTCTCATCACCGCCTGGTGCAAAGGCGTGTACCCGTCCTCCGAAATATTGGGGTCAAAGCCAAACTGAAGGAACTTCGCCAGCGCACCGGAATCTTCACGCTCCAGCGCCATGTGCAACAAGTGTGGCCCGCCACCGGTGGCACGAAACCTCTTCACCACCGCTTCAAGAATCGGGTCCAGCTTGCAGACGTCCTCCCCGGAGTCATGCATCACGTCCATGATTTTTGATGAAAAATTACCCAGTCGGCAACCCTTCTCGATGAGAAGGGCGGCGACCTCCCATGACTGCTCCTCCAAGCACACGTCGAACGGGGTGAGACGGTCGTCGTTCTTCAGGTCGAGCGCTGCACCATGCTCGATCAACACCTCAGCAATATCGCGGTCGTCGTACTTTGCGCAGACGTGCAAGGGTGTTGAGCCTCCGGCTGCTCTCTCCGATACGCGGGCGCCTTTGGACAGGAGCTCCGTTACGACTGCCTTATCACCCGCCGAGACAGCTTGTGAGAGCGTTTTGGGCGTTTCAGAATGCGCAGTAGCTAGACTTTCTTTGCTTCCAAGCTCACTGTGTCCTATCTTCAGCCATGAACAAAAGTCAATGTTCTGCAGAGGACTAACCTGGTCTCAATCGCGCACGGAGGCTCGTTAGGAGTTGTGGCGATATCTGGAGCCTCCCCGTGGTCCACGGGCACACCTATATTCCGCCATGAACCATCCGGAATGCCCGCGATATCATTTTCGAGCTGTTTCCTGGTCTTTTCCGCACTTTCAACGTCAATGAAACTGCCCAGAATCCTGTTGTGATCTGCTGCAATGATCTGGCAGACCTCGTCCCGCGTCTTGCCCGTCAAGTAGCTGCGTACCCGGATTAGCTTCCAGTTGTCTGAGGATATCCATCATGTCATGGCTTTACCCATTCGTCACTGATACCGCGAGACAAAAGCTTGCCTTGCGGTCTCGTAGCTTCGCGATCGAGGCCCGTATCTCTTCCTTGTGCATGATCCAGCTTAGCATCCTCATCGGACCCAGCCTGGAGCTGCTTGCTTCAGCGAACGGGGTGATGGCCACACGTAAATCCTGAATGGACTCTTGACACCATGTTGTGCACTGGGACAGCGTCTGAGCAATCGCGACATCGTCTTGCCTCAGTGGGTAGTCGGTTGCCAGCGTCTGGGCTGTCTGGAGGAGCGTTTCGAGGCTGTCGAGTTCTACTCGGAGATCACCGATGTCTTTTGGTGCGTCACGGATCCCTTTGATTAGCGTGGTGAGACTCCGCGTTGATTGTGCGGCAACAGCGAGGACGCCTGCGAGGCTGACGACGATAGACGCTGGCGAATAATGTCAGTTTGACGAATAAGGGTTGGCTCGCCTTCGGGGACGATGGTTACTCACACGGATCCATTACTTAACACGGATAAGTTGGTGTGAGATATCCCACGCCGTGCTCATGGAAGTCCGACATCTATCCTTTTTACTCACAGAGCGTGGCTCCGCTTTTCGCAGACTATGAATACGGTGTGCCTGGAGCCCTTGTAACGGATCGCTTAAGTGCTTATGATGTGGGTCTCAACAACATTACAGTGGGTCGCCGCCAGCGAAGAGGAAACTTCACCCCCATCTTGGAGATCGAGACTTCCCAAGGCTATTGCGAGTTGGATTTTCAACAGGATAATATCATGCATGGAATCATGAATTCTCAAAGGTTTCCAAGTGCTGAGCATGTTGTCAGTGCATGATTGCGCTTGTTCTTTAAGCTTCGACGTGCCTTCGGGGGCCCATAACATCTACTGTAAAAGTACGTCGCAGGATCAGCTGAAAAACGAGGCTCGGCCCGCCAATAATCCATCCTTCCAAGGTCCCCTGCCATCCAGGTGATGTGGACCCACGTGGGTACAACGCAAATTTAATAGTTTCGACTTCTCTTGCACTCTACATCTTTGTTTGTGTACAAGCTGCGTCTTTGTCATAAGTATCAAAGGCTGAACGAGTCCCAGAAGCTTGCAAAAGTTACAAGTGCTGAAACGGGGTGCTTGTGAAACAAATCTTCCATATTGGTGACGGTACCTAGGTAGACCGACAACGAGTTGAGGACCAAGTGGATCTAAATGAAGCGAAATAGATAGAATAATTGACAAACATGAAAAAGGGCTCAGTATGAATACTCGTCATCGGACTCATAGTCGTTGTATCTCCGGGAGTTCCCATCCATCCTCCCTATTTCAGCGATCGAAAAGCTGGGACTCGATGAACGGGAGATGCGACGCTGCATCCCGCGGGTACTCATGCCCCCTGGCATCAATCCGCTCGCAGATAGGTTTACGACGCGGTCCGGTCGTTCCTCAAATACCGGTAGGGACTGCAGGTCCATGCTGCAGGTATGGTTATTTGCCATCAGCACTTTGACGAAAGCGGGCAAGTTCCTATCTTCGACGATATCCCGAAGATATTGCATCACGACTTCCAGGTCCCAAAACGAATCGAAGGTATCCAACATAGATATCGAGTCAATCACGCAGAATACCCTCGTGCCCGCGGGGAACCCGTACAGTAACTTGTGGAGTGTGTTGCACATGGCCTTCAAGTTGCGGTTCTCCAAGTCTTCCACCATTTTGCGGTCGTAGAGGAAATCGAGGTTCAGGCGCCTAATATTGACAAGCTTTAGGAAGACCTGTATTATTAGGGACCGGACGAGACCTGCTGGGCCTGGGAATCGGTCGTCTTCGTAGTCGACGTGGAGGCTGCAGAAGAAGTGGACGGTAACGTCCTCAGGCCGAACCGTCACCAAGCAGCCAACGAGGTCGGCGCAGAAGATGGACATAGCTGATAGCTTGTCCTGGCTCGCCAAGCGTATGTTTGCGTTGACGAGTATGAGGTCGGGCTTGGCTTGGTTCATCCAGGCGAGGAATCTGCCGTGACGAAGTAGCGTCTGGGCCTGACTGGATGCCCGACCATTCACATCCCCTCGGTACGCGAGGACGCACTTTAAATCCATAACAGGGTGGTGCATAGATATTTCATGACGGGGCACGTCTCGCTCCTCTGGGCCGTCTTCTTCAATCCTGTATTCAGCGAAAAGTTCCCAGAAGTTATTCTCTGAAATAACTGCGCCAAACCTGGCATGTTGGCTTTGCTCGTTGTGACCCTTTAGTTCTTCCTCCGCTCTTTTCCCTGTTGCCTTGTCAGCATCACAGGTCCATGGCCATTCAGACTGATTGAGAGAGTTTACTTTTAGATTCCAAGACAAAAGCCATCATTCCATTCTTGTAAATGATAACTTGTCCGTCCTCCCGGCGCTCTCGAGGGTTGGTCACAGCAGCCTCTTCGAGCTGCTGCTGAACAAACATGGCAATTTTTTGAATGGCTTCCGATGATGATCTGGTACTAGCCGCGAGTCTCTCAATTCTTTCTCCTAGGCCGGATTCCATACTGTTCATTCGGTCCTGCATTATCTTATTGTTCTCGTCGGCGTCGCGGCGCGCAAGCGTAGTTTGCACTGCAGTGTAGTGAGTCGCGGTATCGGTTCTTTGGATAAAATGATCTCGGGCTATTTTGATAGCCCGTTTGAATGCTTTAGTATTCTCAGATAAGTGCTTTAGGACTGTTTCCACGTCCGTCCTTTTCTTTCTGTCTTTTGACTTTGGGACCATCCGTCGCCCTATTTGAGGAGTATCAGTCTCATGGTCTAAACTTTAAGACATTGTTTGACACATCAAACAGTCTTACATTGCGATTTGTCCCCCTTTGTGATGTCTATCAACTGCTCTATTGACTCCACGATTGCTTTCTGAAGACACTCCCGGGCCTTGATAACATCTTCATGAGCCTGGAAACTGGAGTTGCTCGGGTCGGCTGAGGCAATCGCTTGTCGAATCTCCTCAAATGCCTTGAGGATATTATCGCGTTTATCTAGTGACCTTCCCGCGAGCTGAGGAATTACCGTGTCTCAGTAAATCCACGAGTCAAAGGTTACGGGGGTTCCCACTCACCTTGATCACAAGAGCAAGGCCTGTCTTGACTACCGACAGTCCAAACTCGTCGGGAATCCAAGCAACCCAGACATCAACATTCTCTGAAGCCTTGCCAACCGTATGCCATATTCGGCGCCAAGAACTTTGTTGGCTTTCCGTGTAATCATTTTCAGTGTCGAGAAGCTTGTCGCATAATGTACCCCAGACTTCGGTGGTGTTTCTCTGCGGAACCTCAAGGCCCAAAGCTTCAGGGAGCGTCATACGGAGAGAACGTTCCAGGCGACTACAACATGGAATAAATTAGGGGGTCTATGGCCGGGTGCGGATGGTCTTGATGAGGGCCTCAAACGTACGCATATGGGGTTATCGACCGAAATTTACCGGCTTCGGGATCGAAGGTCGCCGACAACGCGTATGGTCTAGTTGGGTCCCGCTGGTCTTCGGACTGAATGAAGTCTACCGCGATGGAAATCTCATCAGGCCCCGGATGGCTCCAATCCAGGTCAACAGCCTGCCCTTGGGGCATTGTAAAGTCCATTTTCTCGTATCAAGTACCTCGACATCAGCAGAAGTCGAACGAGATGCCCTGCAGGCAGGTTGGAGTTGAAAATCGGCCACGCGAAGTTTTGGGGACCACCGATGTAGATAACATGAAAGCCGAAGATCAATGATTACCGGGGGCAGGTTCTCAGGTTCGAAAGATGAGAGATCATCACGAGGGGCCGGGTCTACAATGGTTACACAAACCAAGCGACTTGTTGACCCCATGTGACGGAACGTAGTACAGGGGTATTCAGCTAGCTTCCTATGCCTGTCTGGTCCGGATTGTGACTGTCTCGGAATCGGCGGCGCAATATCAACACCGTCCAATCTTGCGGCTCCAAGACCGGTTTCCAGCGACGCTACTCTACGGTACATGCAGGCAGCAGGCGGACGTATGTTTTGACTGGACGAGAGTCATTAAACTTTCTTCTTATTGCAAAGTGTGGTGGATATGGTCACAGTCACATTGCATCGGGGCCATGCGGTCTTTTTGAATGCCTTCGATCTATTGGCTTGCTGCGGCTGTTGGTTGCTAGTGAGTTCAGCCCCGCGCCTGGTGACCCAAAGATACGCGGACCGATACGGCCGAACTGGGTCGGCGCGACGCCCCGGCCGCTTGTGAAGCAAATATGCACGGCAATCAGGTATCCACTTTACTTGGGTAGCATTTGTTCTGGACCAGACAGGAAATCTACCGGGCTGGCTGGTGTCTGGGCGCGTAATATGCTGTGTTCCCAGGTATTGCTCATCTCTTTCATCTCCTTCATCTTCTGAGATATTGAAGGACTGCCCTGAAGTCTTTTGCCTTTGGTAATAGATCCATAAATCTATCTCGTTCATTTCCAAGGTTTGCAAACTTATCCTGGGTCACTGGTTCGTTCATCCTGCTTTACTATACCAACTTTGAAGTCGTGGACATCGATCAGTCTGCACACGAAACATTGCCATGGAAGCCAATGATACGTCTATCGCAGCCCAGCATGTTGGATTTGCATTGGCCAGAGGGGAGACTCCAAGAGAGAGTAAAACAAATCTACATGTGGATATTCCAGACGTCAACAAGACAATGAACTCGACGCAGGAGATCACGAGTGGAGAGGAGAAGACCGCCGTGGAGAGCTCCAAGGACGACACTCAAAAGAACGACTCAGCGAAGAACGAGGAGGAAAAAGAGGATGCGAAGATGCGGGAGGTGTGGGAAGAGAACCGAAAGAAACTTGCAAGGAAGGCTGCTGTCAAGTGGTCAGATTACGAACATTTCAAGTCAGTATCACTTTTCACCTTTTACGGATCCCCCCCCCGGTCTTTCATGTTTTGGGAAGTTCTAGAATACAACACTTCAGGACCCTTAGCAGGACTAACTTCACCACTAGGAATCGATACAGCCCAGAGGACGGATTGGAGATCATCGAAGTCCTGTACGGCCATCCCGACCTGGGCGGGGAGATTGCCCAGGAGAAGGCTCAGAGGGCCTCCACGACAGCCAATTTCAGCAGAAAATCGCCATCTAGGGACAATCGTTGGATCCAAAGAGTGCGCATCGAGTCAGGAGTCCTCGTTCCACTGCTAGCGCATCTGTCAAGCTGTGAAGCGGCCTCCCACATATGGCCATCCGAAAGGCCGCGGGTATTCTTCCGACCATTCGTCACGTTCTATCACACATTGCCGCTCATGAAAAAGTGCATCCAAATTCTAGAGAATTCCGGACACACGCCCTCCGACAGAGGCGTAACCCCCAACCTCCCGGGTGATATTCCTATCATTGACTCCTTTTCCGGCACGAATATCACGCAGACTCTGTTTGCCTTGGATCCTGAAGTCGCGTTGCCGCAACTAAGGGTGTACGTCGAATTCGTTGAGAAGAATATTATCCCAATGTGGGATGAAGCGGCTGGTACCAGCAAGCAAAGGGCCAGATGGTGCGATCTGCCAATGTTCTTCCGCCCTGGCGAACTGCTGTTCACAAATCTTGGGACTGCCAATCAGAAAGGGCAGTCCCAGCCTGGATCTCAGGCTCAATCAGGCGGAAAGCACACAATACAGAATATATGGAAGTTCATTTCGTTATTCGTGACAGAAGTCGAAGACGCCGAGCCGTCTGACTACCGCAACACGAAGCGCAATTTGAGCATTCGAGCATATCACATCGACTTTGATGGAGACAAATTTGGTCCTTCTGAGTGCGAATGGCCTTACATTCCCGAATACTCCGGGGAGAAGGAGATCAGGAGCTTGTATGTTTATCCTCTACGGTACGAGAAAGAGAGGGAGAGGATGGAAGCAGAGCTCTGTAAGCGGGGAAAGCGATTCCTGCCTCTTCTCCGAGAACGACACTGCTATTACGACGGATGGAGCATTCGGTACTGCAAAGCCATATGGGACCTCGACTCTACAGCCCCAAACGCAGAATATATCGATGGAGAGATCATGATTGATTTCAAAGAAGGATGCCGAGCGAACCCAGAATTGACGGCTTTTGTCCATAACGACTATGACATGGACGCGTTTCATTGGTTCGATCGTGAGGATCCCATCGAGATCAAGTTTTGGGACGGCCCAGCGCGCCTCAAGCTTCTAGGGGAGAGTAGAGATATCTCACAGACTGAGGAGGACTTCACCAAGCGCTACGAACTTACACTGCTGAAGCATGACCCCTTTATCAGAGACCACAACGAAAACAAGCCATGGCTTCAAGAATATACAACGGACCTGACCAGTCATTTTCGTGGGTCTCCTCCACCACCTTCTCTTCGCACCGTGAGGGCTTCACGATCAGGCGTTAACAACTCTCAACAGATGATGAGCAATACATTCTTCTGCCACAGCGGCTCATCGCCTATTCTTTCCGAGGGCGGAAATTCTTCATGGCAAACGTTGACTGTGTCTCGCCCATGGCTTTGACCAAGAATTCCTTCAGGGATCTCAAGATCAATCCGGATCATAAGAGAATGGTCAATTCGTTGGCGCAGTCTCACTTCGAAAAGCAGGACATGAGGCGGAATTCAAAGGTCGCGAATCTGGACCAAGATTTTATCCGCGGGAAAGGGGCGGGGCTGATCATCCTCCTCCACGGAGTTCCGGGGTATGGCTCCTCATAGATATCCAATGATCACACAGAGGAGGTACAGCAATTCAGAATTTGTCACTGACCTATTGTTCACAGTGTCGGTAAAACTACGACTGCTGAGGCAGTGGCTTTACATAATCGAAAGCCACTTTTCACGATCACGTCTGCAGATCTTGGGTTCACTCCTCGTGAAGTCGAGACAAAGCTTGTGGAATTCTTCCGACTGGCCCAGATCTGGGACTGTGTTCTGCTACTGGACGAGGCCGACCTGTTCCTATCGCGGCGAGAAGTCCAGGACTTGCAACGCAACGCTCTAGTATCTGGTGAGTTAGACATCCTCTTTGAGTGCCAACGCCATCTGCGAGGTTACTAAAAGAAACGATAGTCTTTCTTCGGGTTCTTGAATACTACAACGGTATTCTGTTCCTGACTACGAACCGCGTTGGCACCATGGATGAGGCTTTCAAATCCAGAATTCACGTCAGCCTCTACTACCCTCCCTTGACCGAGGCACAGACAGTTGACATCTTCCGTGTCAATCTGAGGAGGCTTCACGAGATCGAGGCAGCCAAGAAAGCGAGCGAAGCAGGCAACACCATCATTAACATTGATGATGCCAGCATCGTCAACTTTGCCAAACGCCATTTCAAGATACACCAGCCGTCAGAGAGATGGAATGGCCGACAGATCCGGAATGCCTTTCAGGTCGCGTACTCTCTTGCGCAATTTGACACGTGGGAAACCAATCCGGACGACTCGGGTGATGACGCGGACAACCACGAGGCTGTGTTGGTCAATGGTGAAAAGACTTCAGCTAGCCGCGGGGCATGTAGGATGGACAGCAACCATTTCAAGATTGTCGCGGAGTCCATTGAGAGGTTTGATTACTATCTCTTCAAAACCAGAGGCACGGACGCGGACACGGCAAGGAACCACCGATTAAGGAACGACGGACACCGGGATCCCAGAGATACGGACTATGACCGGATGTCACTTGGCCCAGATTATCGCGGTGGTCGGCCCAACTCTCGAAGGGAGATGCCTCGTAGCCCTAGTGCTCGGAGCCCGGTTTTCGATCCGGTCACTCGATCCTCGAGAAATCAACATCGAGAGCATTTCGATGACGAGGACGAAGAGGAACTCGAAGACAACAGTGACATCGCAGGGCCCGACTATGGGGGGCACAAGAATAACCCGGCACGGCAGCCCTTCCCGTCGTCCCACTCGACTCCATCAGTCCCCAAGTCCAGGAGAGGCGGCGACAGACATTATGGGCAAAGGGGTGGCGACGAGTACTCGCCGGATGATACCGGGTACGGCAAAGGCGGTAGCATGAGCAGCGGCCGTGCGAACAGTTACGGCCGTGGCCGTGACGCATACGAGTATTGAGCCCTGCGATCCCCCATGTGCGGCATGGGGCCGAGAGGGTGCATGACAGCCTAATCTTCCGATCTCGTCCCCTTTTTCGCTGTTGGCCTACCTACCCTGGGCTCCAGACCTGATGGCCAGACCGGGCGAGTGGAAATATTGTCGACGACTATTGGGAGGAGTAAGGGGCAGCAGGGGCCTGCTTGTGCAGGGGCAGTTGCCAAGACTCAGGCAAAACGTGGTACAGGTTAATTCTTTCCTCCACTCACGATAGTCAGGCCTTTGTCATCCACTTTGAGTGGTGTTGGTTGCTCGGCATATGGTGCGAATACATAACTGTTTGAATGAGAATTGACTACGCGCTTTCAAGTCTGGTTCGCACTTTCCTCTTTTCGTTCCAAGTCGCTGCTCGGATTGTCATTTTGTTTTGCAAATCTCCTCGCGATGTATCGTTGCGGGCCGGTACCGACACACACGTCCTGGTCAACCTCACCCCCGCGGCAAACTTCCGCGAGATGGTGCCTGAGATCTTCATCCAGGTTACACTGGATCGTCATCGCGACAGCCTGCAATCGGCCTCATCGACCGAAGGGATATGCCGCGGCAGGCTGAGGGCATGAAAAAGGACGGCCGTTCAAGGTCGCGTCGGTCGTCAGACTCGGCAGAATCAGACTATGTAGACATGCATGTAGTGAGTGAAAAAAGACACCGAACCGCCGAGTTTTTAGGCCGATGGTGCTTTATGGTTCGATGGGGAGGTGAGTTGACAATAAGATGAAACCGTCTCGATGTTCTGGCAGTGGGTCTGACAGGAGGTCTTGTTTGGGTTCAGCCGCAAGCAGTTTAAGTTGCCCAATGGGGCAGCTCGGCGGATGGACCCTCAGGGGCCCCCATGCCTCGCTTCTTGGAGGGGCAGCTCTCTTACGCCAAATGTCTGGGGAGCCAGAGCCAACATACGAGCCTGGACATGACCCTGGAGCATTCCCGTGCCAAACACTGAACAGATTCCCTCTTGTCATTCTTGTCGTTTACAGTTTCCACCCATCAGAAACCAGCTGCCGCGCAGGATTTTCCCGATGATCGCTGCTTTCCCTGCTGCATATCGCTCCAGTACTGCCAAGAGAGGCAATCCGCGCAGGCTGCAGGCTGGGAGCCCGACGTAGGGCTCGGCGCCTGGTTTAGAGTCCTGCACGCTACCGTAGTATTGCCTTCCCCCTCTCATTGCTTCCCCTATTTGATTTGCCGCCTCTCGGTCCCGCGAGAGCGCTTGTACCCACCCCTGCCCTACCCAGATTAACACAGCACCTGGGCAGTCGATCCGGAACTTGACGAACTTGCTTGACCCAAAGTAAGCTCATGCCGAGCGTCCTGCCCGTGTGATTTGCAAACATGATTGCGCCCCTCGAGAGCTTGAGTCGTGGTCGTTGTCCATCTCAGTCTCTGTGTGCACTCACGTGTTGGGGAAGAATTAATAACGTTATATTCGTGGCGGCCATATCGAGTAATCCGCCGTATTTTAAGGCATCGAAACAAAGAATCGTCTCAATATTGTCCGTTGTCACTTCCCGCAAGCCACACTTCAAACATCGGCACAACGGGTTCGGAGAGACACTTGGAGCAAAATCATCGGGTAAAAAAGGCCGTCCCCCCGCCCCCCCATCAGATGGACATCCACTCTGAGCCCACTTTCGAAGTCACAACCCCGGCAAAAACCCCTGTTCAAGCATGTTTCCAAGTGGAGCCCTTGGCGAACTCCGAGGTGCGGTTCCTGGTGCACGTCCTCGTCCTGCGTCAAGCTGCAAATTGGTGGATACCTTTGACGCCGTGCCTGGTCGCTCTGCATTGTCTGGGTTGTCTCCGTTGTACTCCTTTTGTGGTCGATGCCATCTGCCTCGGTCTGTGACACCCGCGAAGATTGCCGCCCGCGGGATGCCCTTGCCATCTTTAGTCCCAGTTGAAGCAGGGCTGAAGCCCCGGGACGCGTGGGTGGGTGGTAATAGTGACTGGATCATCCTAAGATCTTCAAGATTGGCACCCAGGGTGCACCCCGGCACCCGCCGTATCCCCTGTGACTCCCTCAAACATGGCTCGCCAACCGCTACCAAGCTTCCCTATGGCCGGCCTTATATCCTGCGCCTGGGATTATATCGAAACGACACAGAGGCCCCCCCCCCCCCACTGCAGGCATACACGCACATGGGCGCGCATACACGCAGCCGCCCGCCTGCCACCAGCCTGGCACGCTCCACCGTGCTGTGACGGAGTCTGTTCGAAAGGCTCGAATAGTCACTGTCCCTGTGGAAAGCCCCCTTCTTGGCGGGACTCGCTTGCTTGGTTGGACTGGCCAGCCTGCCCTACCCCTGGTAAACACGGTCGACAATGTGCGGCCAGACGACGCCTGGTCGTGGCCGGCACTGCCCTACATATACCTATGTAGACACTGGTCATCCGACAGGAAACTTTGATCTCGCCATTCTTCACATCAGCCACTGTTGTATCACTCATTCAGACAGGATCTTGACGATTCCTAATTCTTCTCTTCGATTCTTGATTTCGATTCTTCGATAGGCTGGGCCTGCATTCATTCGTGCTTTCCTCTCCATATCGGGGCCAACGTCGTGTTTATACACCCTCCTTCGATTCTCGACGATCTTTTCAAAGTCCCCGAACTCCACCCATCATGTCTTCGCTCACCCGAGTACTGCTCGCCGCAGCTTTCGCGTCCCTGGCCCACGGCCACTCGCAGATCCTGAACGCCCAGGGAGAGGCAGGATCTCCAGCCTCCACTGGTTTCTTGGGTATGATGATTCCTATCAAGGGTGGTTGAACGGGATCATGGGAAGAACGTTATTTTTCTGACCGTGACCACAGTCGAGGGTGACATTGCGAGGAACTGCACGTCCATCAGCCCTTGCCAGCAGGATGCCACCATTATCCGTGATGCTGAAATCGTCGCCAACATCGCCAACGAGTGCGGACGTACTGAGATTGCTGGAAACATCGACGTTGGGGAGAACACCGAGAACGCCCTTGCTGCCAATGCTGTTACCCAGGTCTCACCCGGTGGTGACTTGACTGTCACCATCCACCAGGTCAACGCTGATGGTGCCGGCCCTTACACAGTATGAAGCCCCGTGAAGACATCTACTGTCTATCATGCAGCAACTGACAATCAATTATAGTGCGATCTGGACCCCACTGGTAACTCTCTTGGAGCTACTGGCCAGATTCCTCTCGAGGTCACGAACAACGTGCCTGGAGCCAATGGCTTCTCTCAGGCCAAGACTGAGGACTTCAACATCACCGTCAAGATGCCCGCTGACCTGAACTGCACTGGAGGTGAGCTCTTTACTTCCTCCCAGCCGCTCAAATTACCCAAACTGACACCACTATCCAGCCTCAACCGGAAACATCTGCACTGTCCGATGCCGAAACAACGCCCTGGCCGGCCCCTTCGGCGGCTGCTTCCCCGTCCAGCAGGCCGGCGCCGACAACAAGACCAACGTCGCCGGTGAAATCACCACCGCCCAGACCCTCGAAGGCGTGCAGAATCAGGTTGAGCAGAACAAGAAGGACCTCGACGTCGCCATCGCCGCCAACCAGCAGGAGGGAAGCAAGGAGGGCCAGGCCGCCGCCGCCTCGGTCAAGGACGTCCTCAACCAGCAGGACCCCGTCGTCAACGAGGCCCCCGTTCAGACCCCGGCCCTCGCCGAGCCCGGCGCGGCTGACGCTGCGGCTGCCGACCAGAACAACAACAACGGTGCCAACGCTGGTGGAAACGACAACAACAACAACAACGGCGGCAACGGTCGTCAGCGTGGCGGCAAGAATACCGGCAACGCCAACGCTGCCTCTGGAAATGGGAACGCCGCAGGTGGAAACGCCAACGCCGCGACTGGAAACGGGAATGCCGCGACTGGAAACGGCGCCACCGGTGGTCAGGGCAATGGCCGTCAGCGCGGAGGCAACAACAACAACAACAAGCGCTTCACTCGCTGGGTCGGCAGGGAACTGTTCAACCTCCGCCAGTAAATGGCCAGGGGCGTCTGGACAACACGATGCGTCTTTCTTATGTGTATCTAATAGGCTGCTGATGAAGAGGACGACGCTCCAACGCGAGGGAAAAGAGGCTTTGTGGTATGGTGCTTAAACCCCCAACTACCTTGTGGAGAAAGTACAAGCCTGGCCGATGCGATACCGACTGCCTTTTCTTACACTTGGTTTCTAGTTGTTTGTGAATAATTTAGAACGAACTTGAGTATTACACAAAACTCGTCAATTGTGTCCTGTTGTGATACACGGAGAACATGCGTAGCATTACCCTCACGAAGAGGCGCCCGGGCGCGAGTTAGACCTGAAAACATCACATACAACATACCGAGGTACTGATACCTTTTCGCACATATAGTCTACCAGGTTGAGTGATCTCCTCGATTTACATTGATTTTCCAAGCCTCATGCATATCATAACAAGCGGCCCAATCATATACAACACCGATGAAGTTGCGGCGTGGCCTGACACCTGCCCAAGCAAACGACAATAACCACCAGAACGACGAGGCATGCATGGGCACAGCCCCTGATGGCAGAAAACGCCAAGCAAGCAGGCAAGCAAAGCAAGGTGTAGATAAGCGGCACACCTCCGTGTGTGTGGCGTGTCGAAACCGTGCCCAGAAATTTTGACTCGTGCACTCTTGTGCATACTGTAGGAGATGGGGTTTCACGTTCGTGGGGGCCAGCCCGTGACGTAGCCCAACCCGCCTGTCAATGCCAACAATGCCGAGCGAGCCCGCGATGGGGGGCCCGCGGGCCTGCCCGAGCGTTTGTCAGTGTCTGCTTGGCGACCATGTATAACAGGTGCACGCGATCACAGTCTGGTTGTTCCCACCTTTATCTGGCAGGTACCAAACGTCTCAGGGCCGCCGCATTTCGTCCTGTCTTTTTTGAGTTCGGTTGCCCAGTGTCGTCGCGTCTAAAGTTGGTTCGGCTCATCAATGGTGGCGGCTTCGGAAACTCCGAGGCGGAGGAATGGTCTCTGCACGTGATTGTTGGCTCAGTCAATGATGCACTGCATTGTTCTTTTTCAGAACGTCTTGGCTCTCTGCTATCGGGTTTCTAGTTTTGAGGTTCAGGTCTGTTCAACTTGCAATCAGTGCATTTAGCACAGTAATGTTTTTCCAGATTGCTCCTCACAACCAAGACACCTGCTTTACCTGGTCAACTTCTCACAACCAGCTTTTATCCTAGACTTTACCTGCGAGACTTTACTAAAAAGGTTCCGTACATTCTACTCGTTTCGAATGCTTTGCAGCGAGCCTGTTGATGCTGAGTCTAAAATCGTCTAGAACCCTCTGCCAGTGGGACTTGGGCGGGGATAAGGTTGCTGTCCAAGAATCTAGAAATTAAGCTTAAAGGGCGACTTGATAAGCTCAGGCAACTGAAAAGGCCCGACGAATTAATGTCGTCGCGGAGAATTGTCAATGCTTGTTGTTGGACGCCGAGTCATGTCGAGCAACCAAAGTGAAAGTTGCTAGAATGCACGCGAACCGCCGGCACAAACGCAATCCTTGGTCTACTTTATGGTTTTAATTTTCGGTCATCAAAGTGACAGAAGGCTACCATGAAGCAAAAAGACTCGGTAAAGGTGGCCAGAGAGTCAGGCACCCACCGATTCAGGTATTAAATCTGTACCGTGCTTCAGGAGAACTCAGAAGCACCAGAACAATACGAGCTCAGGTTGGCCGAGGCTCAGGAACCGTAGAATGAAAACAGCCTGCAGCGACCCTTTAATTACAGGTTGATTTAACATCAAAGGGCAAGACCAAGAGGTCTATAGGCATCGTCTCATTAACCGAGACCTTGTTTCAGCTCATAACACTCATGTTGAACAAATTCGCGGGCATCAGTCGTTGACTACAACAAACGCCAAGATTAAATTGTTGTGATTCAATTGCCGTTGGCAACCACCCTTATCAGGACCAACGGGCACCCACCAAAGCTACAAATAGCGTTCAGCTGGCCAAGCATGTTGCTTCTGAGGCCACAGACAATTTCCCGGTCGACTTGCTCAGAACCCAGGTGATCAGGTGGCATCTGTCCGATGTGACCACGTGCTGGTCTCTTAGGACTTCAGGAAATGTATAGCTAACTCGATACTAAAATGCTTTCAAATGCGCATTCGCAGGTCATCGCGTAAGTCAAGTACGTCATATGCGCAACGGCTGCCTTTGTTTGGCCCTCGATCTTGTCACACACCTGGGCATTGAGAAGGCTAGCTACGATTGCGACGTCTTCCACTCACCTCCAACAATATATGGCTGCGGTGTTTTATCATGAAAAATGGGACCCACGGGGGATCGAGGATAAAATATCCCTCCGAGGGTTGTCATTCTCCGCATCATCGGACTGATTCAAACTTCTCATGTTCCAAACGGGTCTTTTATCATCAAGGGCGATATAAAATGAGACGACCTAACATACCTACATCCCCGTTACCATGCCCCCAACCCTGCTGGTACCTTCAGAGAGGCGATTCCTTGATGGCCTCCGAGATTTGCCTCAGCGCTGACCAATTGCTCGAATGGGCTGTGACAGCCAGTGGTAAATACATTGTGGCAATGCCACCTATAAACGAATTTGTACTGGCAATTGAGGCTTTGACTGGGGCGGCGGCGGTAATATCTGCCGTGCTTTCGGTTACCGTCAAGGCCTGTCCGGACGTGAAGGTTGCTGTGGCTAATTTGACGCTGACTGTGAGTGAGGGCGACGACCAGGAAGAGTTCATCATGAGGCTATCGTCAATGCCTGGCTAGAAAAAACTCGGACGACAACATAGGGGTGTAGTATCTCCTTCCCAGGCATCTTGTCACATCTGAGAGGACTGCGGCGATGCTGACCGAAGCACTCGAAGAAATTATCACTGAAACAGGCATTGCAGTAGGGGTTATATCGCTGAATATTGCTCGAGGTCGAGATCACTCGGCCAGTGGTGAACTCGGTTGGGAGGGACACTATTCAATATTTGGAATTTGGACTGTGAGTACCCAGCCACTTTGATATATAAGCAACGATTTGACACTGAGGCTATAATTCTGACGAGCCCTTACAACCGAACGAGCCCCCTCTCTACTTCCAAACGATGAGATCTGTTAGCTAACGTCTACGACCCTGTTCTCAACGCGCTGTGCCAGTAGGATTTTCGAGCTATGCGAATGAGGCCAATTCTTTCAATCCAGATTGGAAGCGAGTTTTTCGCGGTAAAACTTATGGCATACGTTTTTTCTGGAATTGGAGGGCAGATACGATCAGAACAGCATCTTCTGTAGTTTTACCGCGGTCGGAAGTGACCACTAGGAGGTGTAGGAGGACGGCCGCTTTTGCAGGGTTGGCGCGTACCATACCGTGCATTAGTGGGCACTAAAGATAATCACTATAACTATCATTTACATTAGAAATCCTTTATTTATAAGACCGATATTAAGTAAATTTAAAGAGAATAGTAACCTTATAGTATAGGTAATTATTTAGCTATTTAGTGGTTTCTCTCTAACTAAATAGACTTATAAAAGAGAGGGTTATAGAGAAAAGAAGTAGTTGTAGAGAGAAGAAGTAGTTATAAAGAAGCCATTATACCTTCCTTTATATAAGGAGTTAAGGAGTACTTCTTCCCCTTCCTTCCTTCCTTTAACTTTAACTAAATCCTCTACCTTTCTCCTTTAAATTAGTTAGTTAGAATTAATTATATCTAAAGATTTAAAAGTAGAGTAATTAGAAGAGAAGTAAAATTAATAAAGTTAAAAAGTTAAAAAAAACCTAATAGGAAGGGGAAGAAAGGAAATCTCTTTTAGTTAGTTAATATATTTAAGTAGGAGACTAACTATAGAGAAATAAAGAGAGAGTTATTTAGAAAGAAGGAGCCTCCTTAATAAATCTATTTCTACTTTTATAACCCCTTTTTCTCTAAAATTATTTTTAACCTTTAAAATAACTTTATAATTCCTAAATAATTATTTAAGTTTAATAATATAAATTATTATAATTATTAGATTAAAATAAATATTATAGTAATAGTCTTAAAGGAAGAGAAGTAGTATAGTAATTAAGAGGTTACTAGAAAGATATAGGTGTTTATAGTGACCATCTCTAGTACCCACTAACACACGGTATGGTGGGACCGATTATTCACAGGGGTCTTGATGGAGGAGCTGGGGGCTTTATCTATCACATATCTGAGCTGAATGTGATCACAGAATTTGATGACACGTGAACCTTCGATTACGCTTGACCCTCAATGGGCAGCCCTCCAAATGCCTTGTTGGTTACAAAAGTCGAAATTGGCCAAGAGCGTGTACCAGTCAACATCAGCTTGTGCTTGGCCCTTATTAATCAAGCAAAAGGCCGCCCAGGACCGTTGTCCTCCGCCGCGCACCCTTCATGTTTCTATGTCTACCGCCGCTTGTACACATAGTCATCGCCAGTCGCGCCCTATGTCACTGAATATGTCAGCTAAGGAAGGCTCTCTCATTACTTCTGTGGACATGCGCCCCAACTCAGGGAACAATCAAACATCTTCGGCTGCACCTTTGGTCTCAGGCAGCGGCGCCGATGTTGACGCTGACACACAACAGTCTCCCAAGGTTGCCGACGAACGTGAGCCTCAGGATCACTATGCGTATAATCGGGATTACAGGTTTTGGTGCATTATCATTGCCCTCTGCACTATGCAGGTCTTGTGCTCGCTCGAGAACACCGTCGTGGTAACCTCCCTTCCCACCATTGTCAGAGAGTTGGGCTTAGGAAGCAGCTACATCTGGGTCACAAATATCTTCTTCCTGGCGACGTAAGTTATGAACCCTCACCTCGAGCGTGGATATCTCCTTGCCCTCTCATACCAACGTACGGGATACAAAATGAGAAAATTGTCTACACTTTTCAACACCCTCCTAACCGGAGTCCAGATCTGTTGTGCAGCCACTTACTGGTCAACTCGCCGGCCTCTTCGGTCGCCGCCATGTTGCACTCGCTGTCGTCGCCTTGTACACCCTCGGCAGTGGTCTCGCCGGTGGAGCCAACGGGTCGGCCATGTTGATTGCCGGTCGCGCTGTGCAGGGTGCTGGAAGTGGAGGTATGACGGCCATCATGGGCATTGTCATATCAGATCTTGTGCCTCTTCGCATGAGGAGTGCTTACCAGGCCATTCTCGCCATGACATACGCCGTTGGTATGGCGATTGGACCCGTCGTTGGCGGCGCCATCGTTCAAAGTACTACCTGGAGATGGGTCTGTCTACCACATTGATTATGATTTGTGTGGAAACTGTGAGATTACTAACGGTTATGAATGCGCTACTAGATCTTTTACATCAACCTCCCTGTTGGAGGGATCTCTATGTTCCTCCTGTGGTTGTTTCTGCGTGTCAAGTGGGACAGGGAAACAAGTACATGGGAAAAGCTCAAACGTATCGACGTCGCGGGCAACTGCCTCTTGGTCGCCTCCACAGTATCGGTGCTCATTGCGTTGACCTGGGCCGGTTCCACTTACCCGTGGTCATCGTTCCGCATCCTTGTGCCGCTGATAATTGGGCTCGTTGATCTTGTTGGATTCTTTTTCCTCGAGGGATCTAAAAGGATACCTGAACCGGTAATGTCTGTGCCGCATGTCCTCATTTTTCCCGCGCGTCATGTTCTTGGCTCCATCCCCGTCGTGAAAACTCCACCTACCTTTCGCTTTTTCCATCCTAAACTATCCGCGGCGTTGCTGAGGTCTTCACTATCCGTGCGCACGACGCTGCCTTTCACTGATTTCACATAAATGTCAATTCGCCTCCTAAATGTAATACCAGTTCTAACTTGAATCAATGACAGGCCACTGCGTCTTTTCTCAAACCGTACTTCCGCGATCATATATGCGAATACCTTCATCGTCTCGATCATGAACTACTGGATCTTCTTTTTTTTGCCTCTCTACTTCCAAGCGGTCCAATTATCGACGCCGGTCCGTTCAGGCGTACAGATTCTCCCCATAACACTGATTGCCGTTCCCGGTGCTGCCGTCGGAGCGGTAGTTCTGGCCAAATGGGGAAAGTACAAGCTTCTACACATTGTTGGCTTTGCCTTGCTCGCGGCTGGGATCGGCTCCTTTGCCGTGCTTGACAGGGAGTCGAGTACCGCAGAATGGGTCTGTCTCCAGATCCTTCCCTCTGTCGGCGCCGGCATGATCCTCGACACCCTGTTGCCGGCTTTTCAAGCGGGTGTGGAGGAGGTGGACTCTGCAGCCGCCGCGGCCAGCTGGTCCTTCGTGCGCAGCTTCGGGAATATTTGGGGTGTTGCCATCCCTGGAGCGATCCTCAGCATCTACGGTGGCCAGTATGCCGATCAATTGGTCGACGACACCACAGCGCGACAGTCGTTGCAGCATGGTGACGCGTACTCAAGCGCGACGCGGGATTTCGTTACATCATTCTCGGAGCCAACTCGCAGCCAGATTATTGAAGTGTTCACTAGAGCTCTCAGTAAAGTGTTTCTCGTTGGCATTACATTTCCTGCGCTGGCGTTCCTCTTGTCATTTGTCGAACAGGAAGTTGGGCTGCGGACAGAATTAGAGACAGAGTTTGGGCTTGAGGATAAAGAGAAGAAAACACCTGCCACAAAAGTTTGAAGACTTTTAGCTTCGGTCAATCGTGGGAGGGAGCTCGTGTATTCACATGCGACTTTACATACCGAGGTCAACTTGGTGCTGAAATGTAACACCAGATTCTGAATTGGAGAGAATTTATGTACATCAAGTCTTGTAAAACTTTTCCAGTTTCTAGAAGCTTTTCAGCACCAGTATAGGAAGTTAGATGATCCGGAACGCCTATGGTGAAGGTCTCTTCATTGAACCATTCCAATCACATTATACTGAAGACAGGCAAAGCATCTAGGCTGGCCTGTGAAAAGCACCAAAGCCTCCATGTCTGAGTATCCTATTGATGCTCACGCCTGTTGATTAACCTTCCCGCTATGGAAACTCCCAAGAGATGGTAGAATGACGAGCTGACCAAAATGGAATTAAAATCGATCAACCCAGGCGGCACCAGTAATCGCCCAGCAAAAGCGAGAATCTCTTCCGTCTAGGCTTGATATCTCCCCTCATGTCTTTCATGCCCTGAATATGTATCGTAGTCAATATGACTGTGATTGTTACGGATGTCTAGAGATGTCGTTGCTGACTGGTGTGATTGTTCGGAGTGATGTTGAGATGCAGGACGTTCGGTCTGCGAGACCGTACGACTCAGCCCCCAGAAGATTAGCCGCCAAGGCTTTTCGACGCGGTCCTCTTCAACAGACTCGGCGGACCTCTGATTGGAAAGGTTGAAGAGCAATGGGCTGTAAAAAATGAACAATAACACCGAGGGTGCTCGTCTCAGCACATCGGAAATGAGACCTCGGGACTGCGGGCCGTCCAGAACCTGCGAACCTGCGAGGGTCGAGCTTTGTGTCCAGTAGTACACGTCCCTCAGACCGGTTGGGGGCGTGCCCAGCCAGGTTACATAAGTACACGGCATACAAGAAGCCTGGATTGGACGAGTGCGCTAGAGCAATCAATCAGGCTCTCGTACAGCATGCACGGTCTGAAGTTGAGGCTGAAAGCATTCAGTCAGCGGCTCCTGTGCTCTGCGAGACTCTCAAGACCAACTGTGGATTCTCTGTTCGCCTGTTTGCTTCGCAAAAAAAGCACTCTCCCCAACCTCTATTAACTCTTATCCTCAACTTCTAGTCATTTGACTACCTTAAACTTTTCGATATTCTGTTGCCAGCATTCGGTTGCGAGACCACTTCTAAAATGTCCTCCGAGACCTATGATGTTGTCATTATTGGTGGTGGTACTGCGGGACTAGTTCTGGCCAATCGCCTGTCGGACGACCCCAATGTGAAGGTTCTTGTTCTTGAAATCGGTGCGGACCATTCTGCAGACCAAAATACGCTGACTCCAGGTGCCTGGCCCTTGCTACCAAACTCCCCGGCTGACTGGAACTTCCATACTATCCCTCAGAAGGGTCTCAGCAAGACATTCACGGTCCCACAAGGGAAGGCCCTCGGAGGCTCCAGCGCAATCAACAGCTTTCTCTTCACTCCCACGTCCAAGGCGACTATAGATGGATGGAAGAAGCTTGGGAATGAGGGCTGGGATTATGCTGCGTATGAGAGCGCTCTGAAGAAGTCTTTCACATTGCATAAGCCTGAAGGGGTGATTGAAGGAAGTGGCCCTCTCCAGATTACGCTTTCCGATCCTCAGAGTGTCTGGGAGAAGGCATGGATTGAAGGTCTTGAGTCGCTAGGATTCTCGGAGGCTGACCCGATCTCTGGTCGTCTTGGTGGCCCAATCATCGCTCCTGAGAGTATTGACCCCAGGACAAAACAAAGGAGCTATGCTACTAATGCATATCTTGACCCCGTTCGGAAGAGGCAGAATCTAACAATTCGAACGGGGACAACAGTGCACAAGGTGCTACTCGAGAAGCCCTCTACAGGGGGTAATGCTGTAGCAAAAGGTGTTCAATTTACCTCTGACGGGGGTGGTGGATCTCAAGTCGCTGCAGTCCTCAAACAGGTTATAATCTCTGCGGGAGCGATCAATTCGCCACGAATCCTTGAGCGGTCAGGAGTCGGCGGAGCTGATTTGCTTCAGCGGCTAGGAGTTGAGGTTGTCGTTGACAACCCACATGTTGGAGAAAACCTGCAAAACCACCTCTTCACAGGAATCGCCCTTGAGGTGCGTGACGATTTGAACACGCTCGATGCGTTCTTTCGTCAGGAGCCTGATGCTGTTGCTGCAGCTGTAAGCATCGCCCTTCTCATCATACATATATACAGATCCTCGTCTTCCATGGGTTGAGACGTCCTAGGATGCAACACTTTGGAATCTGTTAGCAGGACTAACATGGTACTTAGATGCAGGACTATGGAACCAAAGGGACTGGACCTCTTAGTACCAGTAACATGATCACTATGGCCCAGCTTCCGCTACCCAAGTTTGATACCCCGAGTGGACGGAAAGAACTCAACGAGCTATTGAGCACCCTTGACCCGGATTCTGACGCAAAAGAGTCTCCTCCGATAACGACAGCCTTTTCCACAGCGCACGAGGCCTTTGTGCGTTCTATCCTGACAGATCCTTCCGAGCCACTGGGAAACTACGTCTTCGGGCCAGCGTATGCACCCTTTGACAACTCCAACAAATCTTACCGCGCCTCTGGGAAGCATATCTCAGTCGCGATTGAGCTGTCACACCCGCTCTCGCGCGGCTCAGTGCACACTACCAGCGCGGCGCCGGAGCATTCGGGCACAAACAAGGGCGTGAAGATTGACCCACGCTACCTCTCCCACCCCCTTGACCTCGAGCTCCTCGCGCGCCAGGTGCGCTTTACCGAAGATGCGATTACCCGTGCGGAGCCACTCACGCGCCATCTCAAGCCGTACACCAAGAGGTTCACGGACCTGGAAGTGACCAAGGAGTATGTTCGCCGCACTGTGGACGGCGCGCATCACTATGTTGGTACTTGCTCGATGATGCCGCGTGAAATGGGAGGGGTGGTGGACAACAAGCTGCGCGTATACGGTTGTTCCAATCTTCGCGTGTGTGATGCGAGTATCGTACCACTGGAGCCGACGGCAAATCCTCAAGCTGTTGTCTACGGCGTTGCTGAGCTGGGCGCCAGCTTCATCAAGAACGACATATTGTGAGCGACCCAGCCGTGAAGGCATACACGAGCATGCTGAGTCTCACATGTAAATTGAGATACCTGCGGCAAGCTACGATTTCAATCGTGACGATTTTACGAAGGTTATTCGGAGATGCAACAGACAAAACCGGTCCACTCTCAAGTGTGCTCTCACTACTAATTTTTATCTGTTTATTCCTGTTTCCTCTTCAATAGTATTTGGTTCCAGAATGAGCTTCACCTAAAGATCTCGCATCGTCTCGTCTACCAGTTGCAAATGTCTTCAGACCGCCTCGCACTTACGTTAGAGGAATGGCACCTCAAACTGTATCAGCAAAATTTGGATGGATGTCATTCCCGTTATCCTTGTCTGTGACTTTGGCAATGGTATTGATGTGGTTGAGCCTTGGGGCTGCGTTTTGGCCCGATCCTGCCTTCTTGGGGTTTTGGAATGGGGGGTGGCGGCACATCACTCATGGCTTTTCATTCACAACAAATCAGTACTAGCACATTTCCTCCGTCACAACTCATGTCTCGCTCTCGCACGTCCGTGGGACCACATTGCAGATATAGATGCATGAAAAGCCTTGAGAATCGTTAATGCGGCACTGGGCCCCGTGTTGCTCAGACAAGGTTCCGAGCTGGATCGTTCCACCAAGTCGTAGATGGATTGGATAAGATTACAAAGCCCAATGCTAAAGCGGTGAGTCAGGGCGGTGAAGTGTGTGACGTGCAGAAACTCATTTGGTAATCAACTCTGCTGACCCCCCGCCAGTCCGCTGTAACGCGTCTTCCTGATGTCTGATCCACCCACACATATCATCATCATCTCAATCCTCATATGTTGATAATCAAATCCACGGACAACCTGCAAGATGCAACCTTATACAAGGTCCTTGACGACATCCAGAAATCGGCTAACCAAGTCTCTTATTTTTACAAAGACATGGAAAATGTCCCTGGCAAGGCATACATAATGAGATTACCCATCCCTCTACTGCCTGTTTGCGGGCGAGAGCTTGACAACTTACTCCATAGTAATGAGACCATGGTTCGTGAACTACTAAGGACTAGATTATCTAGTACTTACAAACTGAAAGCAAGCTCTTATACACAACTAGGCCAATAAGAGGAATCTCCTGTTTCAGCTTAAGGAAAGGTTCCTTAGGCCACAGATAATCTAGCTTCAGGGTGGCGCTATATCAATAAAACAAGACCGAGTTATGGTTTTAATAGTTCTACAACAGCCGAGGCATAGACACATCGAACACATTGAAGAGTCTGTAACCCACGAAGAAACACCTTCCGAAGGCATTATTGAAAGACCAATCGCCAAGAATCAATTCATACAGTCAACCTTTAAATGTCAAGTTGGGGATATCATCATTCTCAAAGGAGGAGAACGAATCAAGGCTCGCAAGGAAGGAGATGTCGGTCCTCCTGACTTTTGTCTACTTGCAACCATGCACAGTGTTAGGCGGAGGGAGGAAGAGGCGCAGGGATAAGATGTAATTAGTGCTGCATACCTAATTCCATTACATCTTCAGCATCAGTCACCTGATCCTTCTCCAAGATCACATCGACTCTAGCATTGCCCCTCAAATAACCACCACTGTGACCTCGGCCAGATTCCAGATCTTCTGTGTAATTCTCAATTAGAGTCTATACAAGATTCACCTGCTCCCATGTGATAGACGACACGCTGCGAGTGACTTCGGCGGCAGCCTTGTCATCACCTAAGCGCTCACGAATTCCTTGAAAAGCTGAATCCTTGGTGACAGCGTCCCATTTTTCTCTAATCATAGACATTTCAAGCCCTACCACAGCGGATCCTCTTAAGGGCAGTAACCATTCTAAGCCGAACCTTACAAGACCGAGGTTAGAAAGTCCAATTTCATCACAGATAATGTAATACCTCCACTAATTTAGAAACTAGCTTTATAGAAAAGGTGGAAATAGACTTACAGGACTCTTATAAACACACTACTCAGTAAGGCAACAGGAATTAACACCCAGGAATGGTCAGGAGGTATATAGATCTCACCATATAGTTCCTTAACAACCAGGCCTCTAAGATATTCAATATCTTTAGTAAAGCACTAAGAAGCCTAATATAGTTTATAATATTGCTCTAGATACTCTCAGCTATACGTATAATATAAGACTAATGATTCTTACCTGCAAGTGCATTATATACACTTATTACAGCCGCTCTATTAGAAAGAAGTAGGTGATTAACGATTAAGTTAGCCAGCCTCGGACCCCTAGCTGGTAGACACTTGCGTCCTGTGCGCCGTTTGTCTCTAATGAGCTACAAGCAAGAGAGGACAAACCATGCGGTCCATGCTCGTCTCTTGACGTCCGTCTTCTGCACTTCTATCGCGAGCGGGCTCTCGACTGCATCCAAGTCAAAGCCCCTGTCGATTGGTTGCTGGAAGCACTGGTGGATCGTTTGGGCAGTGCCCTTTGAATCCACCCACCTTCCCATGGCCTCACGGTCCTCCCTCTTCTTCTGCCCGATCTTTATTTTCTTCGACAGGATGCGAGCAACATTAACAAGCTTGGGCCCCGAACTGTCTCGGCGCACACGTGTTTCGCCGTGTGCAGAGATCGAATGTGCAGTCGCATCGGGGTCCCCTCCCCCATCAACCTTAAGGGGCATTCGGCTTCTCGCTGAGTGAGCACTGGCCATTGGTCGGCGGCGCTTGCAACGACGACTGTCAGCGAATTGTGTGCACAGGGATAAAAGAGCAGTATCTCTGAGAGCTTTGGGCGCCCCTCGTCTCGCATGTCCGGTGTTTTTCTCATCTGGTTGCTCCGAAGTCTGCCAGGAGCGGCCACTATCTCATGGCACCTGAAAGTCACGAAATAAAAGCGGGGGTCAGGCATCGCCACTCCACCTCCGCAATTTCAAACGGGACCGTGCCGATCAATCCGATGCTCACTTGGAATCACACTTACTGGACCAATCGTTCTTTTGTCACTAAACCCCCAATCCGCACTTTCAAGCCCTTCACAAGTAATTACACTTACCCCCATAGGGTATTTTTTACACCCCCATTCAACCTAACTTTTTAAAGAACTTTAATTTAATGATTAGAATTAACCTATAATATAAATTAGTAATATTAATAAAGATTTTTTTATTTTCTTATTTTTTTAATTTTTAATTTCTTTTTAAAATATAAAATTAATAATAATTTTATATATATATATATTAATTATTTATATTAAAAGTTATATATATTCTTTATAAAATTTTTTTTATTATATTTTATATATAATATAAAAGTAAATAAACTTATAATAATAATATAATTAATTTAAAAAAGTAAATTTATATTTAATAAATTTAAATCTTTATTTTATTTTTAAATTCTCTTTAAATTTATAATATATAATCTTTATTTTATTTTTAAAAATAAAACTTTTTTAAATAAATTTTATAATTTATTATAATTAATATTTTATATAGCTCTTTTATTATAAAAGTAATTTTAAAGTTATTTTAATTTATTATATAATTATATTATTAGTTCTTACTTTTAAAGTTATTTATATTAATAAATTTAATAAATAATATTATTATAAGTAATATTTCTTAGTTTTATTTATATTATATAAAGTTAAATTCTATTTTTATAAATATATTATAGTCCACTTTTACTATCATTAATATTTTTCGTTCTTAAATACTTAGTCTTTAATATTTACTATTATATTAAAATGTTATTTATATTTTCTACATGTGGGAATTCAAAAAGAAACCACTACTTATACAAGCAGTCCGTCCATGATTCCGTCTCCAACAGAAGCCCATAGCAGCCTTTTGACATCTCCGGCCTTCTTCTCCAACCACAAGAGAGTGTAGTTGCACGCCATGACAAAAGCCATATGCCGCGATGGTTCCGTCAGATAGGCCTGCGAGTCCTGTAGATTCCCCAGATACATCGTCATCTGAGACAGAAGTCTCTCCAGCTTCCGAAAAGACAAAGAGTATAGCCTCTTCCGGAGTCCCACCTCATCGTCATCCTCGAGCTCCAGCATACCCCATGACAGCCATGGCTCCATGAGACTCGAAGGCGACATACTCGCGCCAGGACCACCCACAGATATGTGCGGGTTAGAGCCGGAAAATAAGCTGCTCCCACTCGCCCTCTCTGCACCGGTAATTACCCCGAGTGCGGCGGCAATGTTGGCTACACTCGAACCCGTCACCCCAGTGCCAGTGCTAGTATCAGCCGGGGAAAGATGACTCTGCGGCGCCGGCGAGAGGAGATCGCAGGCAAGCATCTCAAACTCGTCGATAACAAATCCAATTAGCATGGCGACGGTCATGATATGGATGGGCTCGCCATTGCCATGGCTGTGACAACACGCCATCGAGGACTCGGCCGAGGAAATACACCGCTTGAGCTTGGCCAACTGCACGTCTATCGACAACCGCCGGTCTTCGTGACCGCCGCCGTGTAAAGAGACCAGCAGCTCCGTCACCCCAGAGTGGCAGTTGCATGTATCATTGGCCAGCGACGACGGCGAAGGGGGCGAAGTCTGGTACCCTGTCATGACTGTGTCGCTGTTCCTGGTGACGTTGCTGACGGAATTGTTGGTCGGACTGCTTGTTTTCATAATGGCAGATTTTCTGTCACCATGAATGTTGTTGTTGAAGAAAGATTCCACCGTCCAAGGGCTGGTGTACTCATTTACTGGCGTTGAGAAGTGGGACACAGCTGCGCTGAGCGGGTCGACGTGTGGAGCGGTGCTCAAGCCGCCACGAACTCTGTTTATGCTGCTGAAGTCCATCAGTAGCCCAGAACTATTTGTTTGCATGGACGTTGTTGGTGTTTCGGGAGAATCTTGTTGGAAGTGGGACCTGTTATCTCCGAATAGTGCTGTATTTTGATCGTGTGTAGCCATTCCAGTCGAGATCAACCGATCGGGTGACGCACCGCCAGCAGGGATGGACGTAGCCGGCGCCGGAGTAGCACTCCTGGTGAACGATCTTCTGTTCCAGGTGTTGCTGCTAGTGTATCCCTTCATATGGTTGCTTGTGACGGTCATGTCGATGCTGGAGCAGACCCGTGAAGGGCCTCGGGACCGCTGAGACGGCGGCATGATTATAGGTGGCGCGTCCTTGTGAGTCCTCCGTGACAGGCCGTAGATGCATCCGACGCCGTTTCGTTCGCATCGAGCACACGTAGGCTTGCGCTGACTGCACCTAACTTTGGACTCGTTGCAGGCGTTACAAGAGGCTCGCAACCTGATCATCTTCCCGTCCGTTCAAAAATATTGAGCGTCCAAGGTCGAAATTTGCTCTGTTCAAAGTTGGGTATGATTATTGCCAAATTTGATCAGCCACCTGTCGGGGCGTCGAATTCCACTAAACTTCAGTCTTCATATAAGTGACGACATGTGACGAGTTTAGCTGGAGTAGAGAGTCGTAGTATTATGTTGGACTTACTTCTCGGCCGGTCTTGTCAGAGGATCCAGGCCAAAGGATCCAACCGACTTTCCGGTACCCAACGACTCTATTATGCAGTTAACGGTACAGAATCTGACTACTCTTGGTTTATCCGTGAATAGGAGAGGGCTAATCACAAGCGATGTCATGATCCCCTACCAGAAGCATGCATAGGCAGACCAGGTGACAGGATGAGAGCCGATTGGAATACGCATATCCCGAGCCCATACCAGCGTATCTACTCGACAGATTGCCAGGGATTTGGATTTTCAGCGAATCTGGTTGGGCCACATCTACTGCTGCTGCAGCATCATAGGGGGTACTGCAATTCTCTTTCCAGTGAGTGCAGGCACTTGCACACCAGATACCCCTCTGGGATATGCCGTGGCCCAGTACAGTCAGCGTCAGCGCATACAAGCAATGCTGTGTTACCTTTACTGTGCCCGCTACATCGGTATGTACCTAGGTACGTGATAAGCAGGGCTCATCAGGGCGGAATGTGCGGTAATCAGCGCCCCTTTTCACTATTAGACCAGCCTCGGCCCTGAGTACTATGAATCGTGCTTCTGTGGCGCTCACTGACAGCGTCTGACAGCACACCATCTTCTCTTGACACCACATATTTGCACATGTGCATATCATCACTGACCTCGCAAAACTGATCCAGTTGCGAGGATTTCCAGTTCAACAGTGCCACCTTCAAAGGAAATGACTCATCCAACGCCCCATCCCTTATTTATCGAATACCGATGCTTCGATAGCATCTGTGGGAAGTGTCACACCTCCACTGAGGCTTCTGGGGTGTACGTTGCGATTTTTTATTTGTGTAGGTCAAACAGCCCATCGTTTATAAGGGCTTCTTTATTACTGACTTCTCCTGTAGCGTCGGGTGCCGCGTGTCCTGCCGACCATGAACATCAGGCCAGCCTTCAACATCGTCACCAACGTCGACTACCAGATTTCTTTCCCGGGAGCCCACGGTACACTACTATCCAGTGTGGTTCATACATAGATCTGATTTACGTCGGCTTAGACTAACACGGCAGCGACGGCCACCGTCTTTTCATGGCAATGTCCTGCAACACGCACGTAACGTGCAAAGCTGAAAAGGCACATGCAGGTGACCATTTCAAGATGCTGTACTTGCCCATGTATTATGACAAGATGTGTTTGTATCACGCCACTAGGTTGTGTCGTCCAAATTGAGCGTTTTGCATACATTTATCAATTTTCGCACCACCACCAGAGCCAAGTTTGTCTCTGCCAGGGGTGATCGCACTACAGATTGGCGGACCCTCCAGCCGCGTTGAACACCGCTACCCTAGAGGCACTTATTGGCTATCAAAGAAAATGACTAGACTGGCTGCCGCCTTTGATTGCGTGTATTCTCCTCTTTCCCAAACACATGTTGGCCGGTATTTCGGAACCCGACTTGGAAAGGCTGGTAAGCTTACAACCATAAAGGCGGCCGCATGTCCAGACCTAAGTCTGATTTCGGTGCCGGATCCCAGTTAGGAGGTCATGCTTTGCAATGCAGATCTTATGCGTTACTTAATAAAGGATCAATACTTGTGAGCTTAGCAGTCAAAACTCTCTGTGACCTGCTGCTGGACCTGGTGTGCTCTCCAATCCAAGTTGGCGACTAAAGCGAGTGATAGGGGCTGGATCGACCTCAAGATGGAACCTTGCTGCCGTAGTTTCAGCCCGATCACAACCCAACTTATAAGGCTGAGAAGGCTAGTCGATTCAGGATACAAAGATTATTGTCACTTCCACGTGTCCCATTGCTGCTGCGGGCGGCGGCCGTTTGCGTACTTCATCTCTGCTGTGCTGCCAATGCAGCCTTGCCGACCCAGAGCCATGGTAAACAAATTTGCCCACAGATTCTGGTATCATGGCCGGGATCATCACCAGGCCTACCAGGTCTCGCTGTGGCGAAGGCGGGAGCGTTCCGCTGCTGGGATGCAACGCCACCGACGTGCCAGTAATGAAGTACCGAAGTAGGTTCTTGCAAGCCTCTTACGACACAGTGCGGTCGTTGTGTTCGGACTATGTTCATTCTTATTGGCTCCGATAGAGGGACGAGTAGTCCGGTCACTGATGGAATGCTTGTCAAGTGCTTGCTCCCCGAAGCCCAAACCCCGTAAGTATATGCCCCGGTGATCTACGGGCGTCCGCTTTCCAGCTGACAGTCCCGGGATTGGAAAGCCACGCAGCTTGGTACCTAGGTAGCTTTGCAGTAGTAGACAGAATTCCAAAAGGGCAGGCCAGGGGGCATGGCAGAACAGCACCACGGCGTGTGGACATAGCGGGTTTACCAAGTCCGGTCGGAGTTTGTGTTATCTCGGCTTGTCTGGAGCAGGTTTTGCCTCACGGTGACTGAATAAGCAGAGACGGTGATTGATGCGCGATCGGCGATTAGGCGTGAGAGTTTCGGGTTGCTGACGATTGCATGCCACACCCAACACCCGCAGTACCAGAAAACGATGTTCACGCTGCTGTGAGCAATTTGACGTTCCTGGCTTGGCAATCCCAATTACTCAACCTACTACACAACAGTCTTGAGCGTTTACCACCGTATGATGGCGCCATGTATGTCCCCGGACGTATGCGGAATAACAGCGAAACCACCCTGAGCTTTCACGTTTTGATCACGGAATTTAATGCCAGTGGGCTTCACGGAAGTCATACTAGCATCCTGACGCTTGCCACACTCAAAAAGGGATCCTATTGTCAATCCCAGAGAACTCTCCATAAGTTAAACAGCAGCAAGAGCAGCTTTTGATTCCGCAATCACGTCAAACGAAAACACGTAGTCATTGACAGCGTCGGTGGAGTCGAGCTTCTGACCAGGAACGTACTCGGCTGCAACGTCATGAACACTCTGCGGCACAGGGGGGTTGGCACTGGAGAGGATCTGTAGCGCAGAGCCCCTGTTCCGCCTGACCTTCTCGAAGAGCCGCAAGCGGCTTTCGATGGCCCGCGTGTCGCGAAGCTGGTCGAACAGGACCCCAAGAGCAGCGCCGTCTTCGATTGCCTGCCCGCCACCTTGTCCCTGGACTGTATCTTATAGATTAGCACGCAGTCCATCGGGCATGTTTTTTGTGAATGTGCAGGGACAAGCTTACAGGTGAGCATGGGGTGAGCGGCATCGCCCACAAGGACGAGCCGGTCCTTGTGCCATTTGGGAATCGGTCCCCTAGCAAACAGCTTCCAGAACTTTACGTCCCTTGCTTTCCTGGAATACATGTGAGTACTTATATGTCGTTGATTCAGCCCTGCCGACCTACTTGATTGCATTTTGAAGCTCAGGCGCAAAATGTCTCTTGGAATATTCCAACGCCATGCTTGGTTCAACCATTGCCCGAAAATCTAGATGCCAAGTTAGGGTAGGGATCGTGCACTCGCCGATGTGAAGTGGCAGGGTCATAAATACCCTCCCCGACATGCGATGTGTCGAACTCGCGTGAGAGATACAAGAAGTTCTGCACCTCATTACTGCAAGGGAGTGAAGGTCAGGTCAGCACGTAGACAAGGAATCGCTCGGGAAGATCTGCTCACTTGCGACAAGAATACCACACCAGACCAGCTGCCCCCTCGGCGGCTGTGAAATATCTGGTTGAGTTGTCGATAATCATGTGAGCAGTGTCCGGGTCGGACAGCAAGTCCTCCCTCGGGACCAACCATCGCATGCATGCCCAGCCCGTGTCACTAACGTGGACAACTTCATCGCCGAGGACATGCTTCACGGCGGTGGAGTGCACGCCGTCCGCGGCAACGAGGAGATCGGCTTGCAAGACCCCGCCGCTCTCGGTCGTGACCTTTCCATTCTCCGCGTCCTGGCGCATTGGCAGCAATTAGCTTTTGATCCTTCTTGGAATTCTGGCCTGTAACTCACATACTCGACAACCTTTGTCTTCACCTGCACGTCACAGGGGCGCCCAGGGCCCTCCGTATCAGTGGCAAGCTGCCTCAGCTGGGTATGAAGGTCGACGCGGTGGACGGCATACATTGGCCAGCCCCATTTCGAATCACAGTCTTTGTAATAATCAGGTATAATTATCTCCATATTCGTGCCATCGACGAGGCTCAAATTCCGTATGTAGACCGCGCCCGACTTCTCTGGGACAAAGTCCCATGAGTGGAGCACTCGTGAGGCATTGGGCTTGATGGTTATCGCTGCGCCAACCTCGTGCATCAGCGAGGACTGCTCGAGGATCTTGTGCCACACATGTGTCAGTAACGGTTTGTGTCATGTGTAAGTCTGGGGTGAATACCAACCGTCACTTTGTGGCCTGCTCTCCGCAGACCAATCCCGGTGCTCAGTCCGGCTATGCCAGCGCCCACAATGACGATTTCCATGAGTGCTGACTATAGGGGACTGATATGGCTAGGCTTTTTCAAGTGATAAGTCAGTGGATGGCCTTTTAGTAGCGACAGGAAAAGATTGTTTCGCAGACTCTGCCACGACGACTTTTCTCGCTGAGCTTCGTCTCGCAAATACTGCTGTAAGGTATGGCCGCCTATATCCTCCTCAGCAAGCATCAATCCCCAAGGATTCCATGACTTTAATTTTGTCGAACAGAATCAAACTGTCTCCAGCTGGAGGTCCACCGGAGAGGGGCTTCGGTGACGTACCTCAGCTGGTGAAACGCTGCATATGTGCTGCCCAGGTGTTGGAATCTCGGGCCCCTGCTTGTCCTGCACTTTTTCAATACATGCTACGAAATAACTGCTGCAATGCGATTGCTGATGGCCTAGAAATATTTCTTTCAAAGGATAAACGAATCGAGGATCAATCAAGCGAAGAATAATTGGTCCCCACCTGGACAGATGACTTGAAGAGTTGGGCGGGGCAAAGGACCCGTTCGCCGAATGTCTGGGAGGTCCCAAGCCATGGAGCCGGCCACGTTTCACAGCTACAGCATCATAAGGCAGGCCCCGGATGGATGCCAAATCACGGCGGCTTTGCCAAGCTGGCACGAACACAGCAGCAAGACGGCAGCTACGGGTCTCGCCGCGTGGTCATGACCAACCAATCCTTCGCAGCTTGGCATGCAGCTATTATGCAAGTAAGACACGTGAAAAGACGACGGCGCTGCAGGTGTGACTGTCACGATTGGAGATCTAGCACGACTGAACGAAGGGACTCGATTGCTCAGATCAACTGATTTGCCTAGGGAGTGAAAGTCAGTGATCCGATTTTAGTTCATGGCATATATATGTTTTCTATTATGATGGCGGCGCCCTCTGGTGCTGCGCTGGCCTGCTAATAAATCAGACACATCTTGCTGAGCCGAGTTTGCGTGGCAGATTCTGGGTCTAGGCGATGAGAGATACGGCGTGTGTATCCTCCCACATTGATGACAACGGCTGGTAGAGGGCGGGAGCATATCTTTCGTTCCATACGCACGGTGCCTGTCCGCAGTGATTGGAAGATGTTCAGTTGTCCACAAGTCCTTCTAATATCGCAAAAGCACGCTCTATTTATTTCAGTAATTCAAATGCTTGATTCTTGAGTTCCTTGACGCATCAATGATTCGCTTCAGTTTGCCGAGTGCGACATTGTCGGCAGAACCTTGAAAGCGATGTGCTCTTCGCGCCCCTTCTTCAGGGAACCAAGCGTCATATCGCTGCTCGATCATGCCAGTGAAACCCTCCAACCGAGGAGAAAAACATTCGATACTCAGAATGATTGGTACCGTTATTCCTAGTGCACAAATACTCAGCCAACAATTCTCGTCGCCGAAACAGCCGGCCCATCCCCTTCGTCTTCCACACGCCGCCCCGCTGACCTCGCCTCCACAGCTTCAGACGTCGTGTCCGGCCCCTGCTCCAGGTCTCTGTTGGCGGTGTTATTCCCAGGCCCACTGCGCCCGCCGAGATTTCTCAGCTCTATACTCTCGCCCGTGCCGTGGCTGGCTCCCTGCGTTGTCTCTGTCACATCGGTCGGTACTTGGGACGCGGTCGGCCCCGGTGCGTCCGAGGCACGTCGTCCGTTGCCGTGATCGCCACCACCGCCGAGTATATCCCCGCCGTGTGGTTGTTCTTCTTGTCTCCCTGGCCGGTAGGGCCCACGCTTCCAGAAGGCCTTTGAGAAGATCGGCATTACGACTGGGGCGTTGACGACAATCATTCCGGCTCCTGTTTCGCGGACTGTTGATTTCATTAGGACTGAGCTACAAGGTGATGGGGGATTGCACGTAAAAGAATTGGCGGAGAGCATTCCTGTCGACTTCGAAGGTAAAAATACACTCTTTTCTGCTGCCTTGCATCAAAAAGTACACGAGGAGAGAGGGGGGGATGAGGAGGAAAAGAATCAAAAGAACGCCACTGATGGGGGACACAATTTCGGTCAACATAGACAAATGTGACACTGTCCTCACAATACTCACATCCCCATCGATTTATCGCTGTGACGCTGGGTGCCGCAGCTATTGTAAACTTTGCTCTGACTACGGCTGCAGATATAACAAAGCCGACCAAGCAAAGGAGAAGCATAATGCCTATCTTTCGAGGCGTCGAGACTCGTGATTGACATAGAATAGGTACAGGTATGGTCATGATGAGCTCGTCGGTGAAAATGTTCACGGAGACGGGGATCCATACGTTCCAGGGGGAGAATGGGCAGTGGTGCAGTGGTCGCACAACCCAGTTGTTGTGGAATCTTCAAACCACGGTCAGCGCAACTCAAGAAAAAGATGCGACCGGGCGATACGTACTCTTTACACACCAGGATGGGCACAAAGACAACGGCGATGTAGGCTATGCCATTGAGATAGAAGATCCAACCCGTTCCGTGGGTCCAAAGGGACTGGTTCCATTGGTCTGCGTTGAGGCGCCGGTAGAAGAACAGCACCATAAATTTGAGACACCCTGCATATCGGGATATCAGTTGACCATGTTATCTTCCAGGAAGGCCTCCCGGAAAAATTGGTGCGAAGCGATGGCCTACGCACATATGATCGCACTGTAGGTGAAGATGGACGCGGCCTGCCACTTGCCGCCGTACTCCAGGACCCAGACGTCGCTATCGGAAAGCTGCTCGGCCTGCTCGGCCGTTACGTCAAAATTACTACCCGAGTAGTACGTTGTGTACGCGCCGAATGCATTGATGGTCCAGAGCGCCAATAACTGCCACCGGCGCGTGTGTTAGTGCTGGTGAGGTGAAGAGAACCGGCCCCTGTATGGCATACTGGTATTGATATCAGGTCGTCACCACGAAGCCCTCGGAAGCCGACAGTCCTGATCCGTATTGCCCATCTTGCGAATAGGATTACGACGCCGACGGCGAACTAGGCCTAGGTAGAAGAGAGAGTGATGGTCAGCAGGGTACTTCCAAGAGGCAATATGTACGATCGACCCGGGGAGTAGACGACCGAGACAACATACCCAGACCTCACGCAAATATGTATCATCTACCTGTAACTTTACCGCAGAGCTTGGGTGAGGCGTCATGATGTGTCTTGGACGGATTTCTTAGCTTCGAAAATCGTTTCCGCGGGTGCCTCGAACGGCCTCAACTATACCATCTAACAATTCGGTCGCAGGCTGGTGTTGTCCACTCGGAAATCGCTCTTGAGCATGTGGTTGGAGAATGCCAAGGTCTGATCAGGAAGCATATCACATTGACGATATCTAGGAGGTCAGTAAGGAATGTCTGGACGAGGGCATCCATGGATTACGGCAGGGCCGGGCAGGGATGGGTTGGAGCGGATTGGCAAGGATACTTAAGTAGTGAAGAGGAAGAGCGTCCGTCTAGGCATTGCCTGCTGGTACTCCGCGACGTCGTGCCTTCCGGGCATCCTGCATGGGCGATGATTCAACATAGGTACCCAGGCAGTCTCCGTCGCAGACCAGATTATCCGCTATGAGAGCGCTTCTTTTGCCGACGGATGAGTATTACTGTTATCCCTCACATTTCGCGGGGAACTTCCCCGGACACGATTGCGACACAAGAGGCAAAAGAGTGCTACTGCAGTAAATCTTCATCTGAACGTAGCATGATCCCTTTGGACACTAAAAGCGCACCATGTAGTGTCGTCGTCACCTTTTCTTGAAGACCGTTGGTTGCTGGACCTTTTAAGTTAAAGAGAAGACGGCACTTTGGAGGAAACTATTGAAGCCTATCGAGCATGCTAGAGTTGAATACCAGCTCAACAGCATTTCAGCGGCATGGAAACCCATCTCGTTGGATTCGCAAATTTCCGGGGAAGGGCAAGAGCGTTTCGAGGAGTAAGGGGTCCGGTCGGATATCTGCAGTCGGGGTCACATCCAAGCGCTGGAAGCTGCAACTCCCAACAGCAAGGGGTCTAGTCGACACGGAAGAGCTCTGAACACCCAATTGCATGCTCGAGCAACTGTACTGTAGCGAAGGTTTGGGCCGTGGGAAGGTTTCTAGCGTAAGAACGACGAGGCTGCACATGATTTGCACACGAGCGGGCTGTGGTGGACCAGCACACGTTTCTAGAGAAACCACATCAACATTTCGAGGAGTGCGGTCGGTTTTGTGCGCCATGAAGTCAAGCGTGCGAGCGAATCGTCAAATTCAGCGATCAACATGTCAACGCAACAAGGTTAAAAGGGTTCATGCTCCCCAAGCAGGTGCTATGCACGCTGGTAGCATTGGAATCTGGGTCTGGGCCACGCGGAGTCTGCGGTTCTCTTTTCCGAAGCAACGTGATTCGAAGTTGAAGCTGTCGTGGAGAAGACCAGTCAGACCGCACTGGGAGACCTGAGTCTTCCGATGCATGATATCAGAAACTGGTGCGCACTGAGTTGCCAAGCTAACTTCAATGAGAAGACAGGCTCGTCGAAAGGACGACGACCTAGAATAAGAGACTGCGATGCGATAGCAATCTCCCGGACATCTTCCAACATCAGAAACACCTTGTGGTTTCGTTTTTAATCCCCATACATGTAAAAAAACACCTTACATTGACCTGTTTCATCCGGGGAGGAAAAGAAACGGGGCGAAGACAAGACAAAAAGGACAGGTCTGCCGGGGTTGTTCTGAGAATCGATTTGCAAACAATCATGCAGAACGGTGGGTCCTTTCAAATTCACAGAAAACCTGAAAGAATAACGGTGGAAGAATCATGGGGGTTCCTTGGGAATGAGTTCATCGAGGTGAAGTCAAGCAAATATCATCTGTGGTGTCTCTGAGAGGAGGTTTGGGGGGGCAGAGGTGGCCTGAGGTGGCGGGGCCGATTGCCGTCTGCAGATCTGGAGCACCGCACAGGAGAGCTCCAGCTTGAGCTCGGGCCACCGTTTCGCTGGAACCGTTACCCGCTACCCACTACCCGTTACAAGGGTCCTCGGCAGACGCGACTGCAGATCCAACAACGCGCCTCCCATGAACGCGTCGTGAACTCTAAAGGGCCCAGTATTTCGAGGAGTCGCCCTCTCTCCCGTGCTGGTGCCTCCCTACTCCCAGCGTTACTCGCCAGCACCAGCCTCGAGACACACGTACTGACTTGGTCTTTATTTGCCGGCGCTCTTCTCTCTGCATTGGGATTCTGTCTGATATCTTTGTCTGCGTAAGCGGATCGAATTGGTCTGCTGTCCCAGGGAAATGGGCGACAAACCCACCAGCGCCCCGGCTCGCACGCCGGCAAAGACGCCAGCAAAGACGCCGTCGTCCAGTGCGAAGCAGCAGAGCATCCTGGGCTTCTTCTCAAAGGCCAGCCAGCCAAAGGCCAAGCCCAGTGCCGCTGCCTCTGTCTCCGCCACTGCCACGACGTCCACCTCCACCAAGACAGCCAAGGCGTCGTCGACGTGCCTCAAGGAGACCACAAAGGCCAATGCCTTGTCCTTTGCCAAGCGCCCGTCCAACATTACTCCCGTCCCTAGCAGCGACGCAGCTGGGCCATTGAGCTCCCAGGAGAACGTTGATGTCATGGCCATTGACTCCAAGGTACCCAGCGACTCCTTGCCGTCGCCAAAGTCTCCTGCTGAGCTCGACATCCAGCCGGCGACCTCCCCCGCGGTGCTTGCAAGCAGCAGCCCTTCCCGAAAGGTACGGTCATTTGGTGGAATTCCCTGTCACGTCCGGCCGCCACTGACCCTCATTTCCCCAGGCCAAGAAATCCGTCAACTACGCAGAGTCGTCCGACGAAGAAGACGAAGTCATCACGTCGCGCAAGTCGCGTCCCACGCGGAATAGGAACCGCGCCCGCACCGCTGTCATGGACGACGACGATCACGAGGACGAATACGAGGGTCCATTGGACGATGTGATGGATGAAGACGATGGTATGTACTCGCGCTGGAGCACTCCGAGCAATGGCGGTCTGATTAACGTATTGGGGTAGACGATATGGACGACTTCGTTGTTTCTGATGAGTCCGATGCACCCTCCAAGTCCAAGAAGAGAAAACGCCCAGCTCCCAAGTCCGCCCCGCCCCCCAGAAAGCGGCAACCTTCGTCGAGCTCCCCGACCTCCGCGCAGATGGAAGAAGACATTGACGACGAAGATCTCCTCAATGAAGCCTCCGGTACATCAACGGCCCAGCAGTGGCGGTACGACCCCGAGGACATCGGCAAGCGACAGGAGCACAAACCCGCGGCGGCGCGCAAACCGAGTCCATCGGCTTCAAAAGCGAAAGAAAGAGCATGCGATAAGGAGCCAGAAAAGCGACACCGCTGGCTTGCAGAGCCTCTTGATGGGGATCGCAACCCCCCTGGCCACCCAGACTTCAACCCGGGTACCCTTTATGTGCCGCCCAGCCAAAAGTTCTCGGCTTTTGAGCAGCAGTACTGGGACATCAAAAAGAACCTCTGGGACACTGTCGTCTTCTTCAAGAAGGGCAAGTTCTACGAGCTGTACGAGAATGATGCTACTCTCGGTCACCAGCTTTTCGATCTGAAGATGACAGACCGCGTCAACATGCGCATGGTCGGCGTTCCCGAAGGCTCACTCGATATGTGGGTGAACCAGTTCATCGCAAAAGGCTACAAGGTCGCCCGGGTCGACCAGATGGAGTCGGCGCTCGGCAAGGAGATGCGTGAACGCGATGGCAAGGGTCTCAAGGCTACAAAGGGCAAAGAAGACAAGATCATTCGTCGAGAATTGGCCTGCATCCTCACCGGGGGCACTCTTGTTGACGGTAGTATGCTCCAAGACGACATGGCTGTTTATTGTGCCGCCATCAAGGAGTGCATTATCGACGGCCAGCCAGCCTTTGGAATCGCGTTTGTTGACGCCGCCACGGGCCAGTTCTTCGTCTCCGAGTTCGTCGATGATGTGGATCTCACCAAGTTCGAGACCTTTGTTGCCCAAATCTGCCCTCGGGAAATCCTTCTCGAGAAGTCGCACATCTCTACCAAGGCAATGAGAATACTCAAGAACAACACCACCCCAACAACCATCTGGAATCAGCTCAAGTCCAACTCTGAGTTCTGGGGTTCCGACCAGACGCGCCGCGAGCTTGACTGCAGTGGCTACTTCGTCCGGGAGGGGGTCGAGGAAGAGGTCTGGCCCGAGGTGCTCGAGGAGTCTAGAGACAAGAACCTGTTGATGTCGGCACTTGGCGCGCTCATTCACTACCTGCGGGTCCTCAAGCTCGAGACCACTCTGCTGTCTCAGGGTCATTTCCAGTGGTACACTCCTATCCACAAAAATGGTACGCTCATTCTTGATGGACAGACACTCATCAATCTCGAGGTCTTCTCGAACACGGTCAACGGCGGGCCCGAGGGCACACTCTTCGCCCTGCTGAACCGCTGTGTTACACCATTCGGGAAGCGGCTCTTCCGCAACTGGGTCTGCCATCCACTCTGCAACATCGACAAGATCAATGAGCGCCTGGATGCTGTGGACCTATTGAATGCCGACACCACCATCCGTGAACAGTTCTCCTCCGAAATGACCAAGATGCCTGACCTTGAGAGGTTGATCTCACGAATTCATGCCGGTGTGTGCAGACCAGATGATTTCGTCAGGGTCATAGACGGGTTCGAGCAGATCGACTACACAATGACTCTCATGAGTGCCTTTGGCGGCGGAAACACCATGGTGGACCGTTTGATCTCGTCAATGCCCAGCCTAAAGGAGCCTCTTGACTTTTGGAAGAACGCCTTTGACAAGAGGAAGGCCCGCGAGGAAAAGCTATTTATCCCCGAACCTGGTATCGAGGAAGAGTTTGACAGCAGTATGGACAACATCAAGCGGATTAAAAAAGACCTCGATGCTCTGCTTTCCAAGCAGAAGGGCAATTTGAAGTGCCCAAAACTCAAGTTCTGCGATGTTGGCAAGGAGATCTACCAGATCGAAGTCCCCAAGGCTGTCAAAGTCCCCAAGGACTGGCGCCAGATGTCGGCGACCGCCGCAGTCAAGCGGTACTACTTCCAGGACCTCCTGACCCTGGTGCGCGAGTTGCAGGAGGCAGAGGAGATACATTCTCAAGTGATCAAAGACGTTGCCGCGAGCTTCTTCAAGCGGTTTGACACGGACAACGAAACCTGGCTGCAAGCCATTAGGGTCGTTGCTCAGCTTGACTGTCTCATCAGCCTCGCCAAGTCATCGACCGCGTTGGGCCAGCCAAGCTGCCGCCCTGTCTTTGTCGATCAAGAGCGGAGCGTTGTGGATTTTGAGGAATTGCGCCACCCGTGCATGTTGAATAGTGTCGACGACTTTATTCCCAACGACATCAAGCTCGGAGGAGAGGGGGCCAAGATTAACCTGCTGACCGGTGCAAACGCGGCCGGAAAGTCTACAGTGCTGCGCATGGTAAGTTCCCACTTGTGTTCCTCAAGCACCGTCGCTCATGGGTACAACCCATACCTCTGGACTGATGTGCTAACGACGTAACAGTCCTGCGTCGCCGTGATCATGGCCCAGATCGGCTGCTACGTCCCCGCCGTGTCCGCCAGACTGACCCCGATCGACCGCATCATGTCCCGGCTGGGGGCCAACGACAACATCTTCGCGGCGCAGTCCACCTTCTTCGTCGAGCTGTCCGAGACCAAGAAGATCCTGTCCGAGGCGACCCCGCGGTCCCTCGTGATCCTGGACGAGCTGGGCCGCGGCACGTCCTCGTACGACGGCGTCGCCGTCGCGCAGGCGGTGCTGCACCAGGTCGCGACGCACGTGGGCTGCGTCGGCTACTTTGCCACGCACTACCACAGCCTGGCGGCCGAGTTCGAGAGCCACCCCGAGATCTCCCCGCGGCGCATGCGGATCCGCGTCGACGGCGCCAACCGGCGGGTGACGTTCCTGTACAAGCTCGAGGAGGGCGTGGCCGAGGGCTCGTTCGGCATGCACTGCGCCGCCATGTGCGGCATCCCCGGGGCCGTCATCGAGAGGGCCGAGGTCGCCGCCAGGGAGTGGGAGCACACCTCGCGCCTCAAGGAGAGCCTCGAGCGCGCCAAGACCGGGTGCTACATCCCGCTCGGCGTGCTCAGTGACGTCTCGTCGCTGCTGAAGGGGCGTGTGGATTCCGAGGGGAGCAGTGAGGTTCGCAGCGGCGGCGTGGAGGTTCTGCTCAGGGCCATTGAGGCGCTGTGAAGGGGGTCCTGAGGGTCCAGGCGTGTCTGTGTTGCGTGACTGAAGGATTTGACGGCTTTGATGTTTGCTGCTTGGATTGCTAGGCGTTGGGCGGTTGCTACAATTGTGGACATCTATAGTTTCTCGTCAGTGTCATGATGAGGACGGTGTGCTTGTGTTTTGTACCTGAGTGTCGGCTAGGAATAGCTAGAAGTGTAATAGACACGTCATGTCCGGTTTACCATCCTGATCGGTGGGCGGGTGGGCTGGAAGCGCTTTGCAATGCTCACCTCCGGCGCAGACGCGCCGTCCGCCTCGCACCCCTTCGCCAACTCCCGCTTCCATGCTTCTCTCTCCGCACGTCTCCTCCTGGGGCGCGTCTCCTTGTACAGCTCTGCTCTTATCCGGTGGCCCTCGCCACTGCCCGGGTGTCCTCCACACAGCAAATCTCCTGTCCAACCTCTTTTGTATCAGCCTCGTGTCCAACGACCTGTTAACGTGGTTGACTTGGATATCATAACACCCTGGGTTTCAATTTCCTGAGATGAGGTCCCATAAGATGAGCTCTTGTGAGATATCTTCCTACGAGACAGCTTCCTAGTCTTCTGGAGGACAACCTCCCACCTAATAACTTCATATCTCACCACCCCCTACCTTACAACATTCCGGATAGCACCTCCTCTATAACAACCTCCGACCTTATATCCTCCTACCGAATAACCTCCCCTATCGTAGCCTCGCACGAATAAACTCGCATATGACAACTTCGTTTACAATAGTCTTACAAAGGGATCTCCTTGTAGAGGTCAGACTCTAATCGGTAAGCACGACATACTGTTATTTCTCAACCTCTGGTAGTAAGTGGATAACGTCTATTGCGATCCTTTACTTCACTACTTAGGTACCTAGGCACCTACTCTTCCTCAATGTCATCTCATGCTAATTGTCCTTTGCAGAGTCTACTTGCCACCACTGGACGGTGTGGGGCCGTCGACGTCCTCCTAGCCCATTTTCTGTTTCTTCTTTGCACTACCCTCTGCGGTGCCGACAGATGAAGGCACCGGGGAGCTCGGGCCGGCTGCGTCCTGGTCCGAGGATCCCCCCGTTCCGGCTCCACGTTCCCTCCTCGATTGATTTTGTGCCCTGGCTTGGTTGGTGCTCTTCAATCTCCGCCACGGATTGCCTGCAATTTTATCGGCGCGATGTTCGTACTCCCCTAGTAGTTTGGCGACCTGAATCTTCTCCGTCTTGAGGAACTCGATGACGTCCTCAAGGCGGTCTCGTCTCGGCTTTGTCTTTCTGGCCTGCTCTACTTTGTGGACTGAACACTGCGTCGGCGTGATTAGTACGACGGCCAGTTGGTACCAGCCTCTTGCGGCTTACCAGAACCATGCAGGATATCATGACGACGTCGGTCTGCCTCCAGGATCTGATTTCCTCCATCTCCTTCTGATGGATGGGTCTTCCGTGTAGTTCAAGACCAGAGGAATCGGTAATCGCCAGCGCGATCCTCCTCACATCGTCTGGGAATAGAATTTGGTCGTCTGGCTTCAGGGCCATAAGTTCTACCCGCGCCTTCTTGTAGGCTCGTAGCGTCCTCTCGATATCAACCTTGCCTTGCGGGATGAATTTCATGACGTCGTTGTTGACGTCGAAGTCCCATTGTCCCGGTTTCTCGCATGTCAGTATTGTGAGTATGGCGTCGGCCAACCTCTCGTCGGCATCGGCGGTGAGCTCGGTGTCGTCGGCATCGTCGGTGAGCTCGGTGTCGTCGGCATCGGCGGTGGTCTCGGGGGCCTTGCCCTTCTCGTCAGCGGCAGCATGGTCGATGGGGATGGATGACGTCGTGGAGGCCTGTGGGTCCGCATGGCCACGGGAGGCTGTGTTGCCCTGATTGTCGCTGGAACCAGCCATGGTGGGCGTGCAGTTGAGTATGGGCGTGATGATGAGTGTAGAATTGCTGATAACTGTGAACTCGTTGATGGGTATGGCTTCAGAATCGATGCAGGACAGCAATGGTTGGGTGTGTCGGGGGGAGAAGCGTTGCGAGTCAACAAGACCGACAGGCAGCGTGTCTAAGCCCTTCCTTCCTTCCTTCTCAAATGGCCCATCCACCAGGAGCTCCTTCTGCCGAAATCAGATCAATCACAAACGTGGCCACGTCGGCAGGAATGACGAGTGATCCTTGAGAGGTTGTCATATAAGGCATCAAGATATATGAGTCTAGCGTATGACTGGAAGAGGTGAGGAAAGTATGATGTACTAGATGAGAAGGATAACGTTGAGGTATGAGGTTGGGTGTTAGAGCCTATGAAGAAGGTAGGGTGATGGCTAGGAGATTAAGAGGTTAGGAAGCAAGATGATAGCAACTAGAATGGTGGGAAGTAGGATGATACGAAGTCAGAGGTTAAGAAGCCGGATATATCCTAGGGGTGTTAGCTATCTAGGTGTATATATGTTTCTTTAGTGTTAAGTAGAATAGGTTCTAATGTCTTGTATTTTTTTAGAACTTAGAGGAAAAGGATCTAAGAGCTATAAGCTACTAGGAAAATCGTAACTAGTAGGGTAGGATAAAAAGTATTAGAATATTAGATATTAATAAATAAAATATTAACAAGTTTAATATTATTATTAGTATTATATAAATAATAATTATTAATTAATTATAAAAAACTTAAATTAATAAAAAAAGAAAGAAATATATTAAATTAATAAAAAAAACTTTTAATAACGATATTAAACTTAAATAATAAATAATAATATTTAATTCCTTATTTTTATTTTTTATTTATTTTACGCTTTTTTTAAAAAAAGTTTTTAATATTTATTAAAAGTATTTATTTCTAATATTAATTTTAAAATATATTTACTTTATTAAAATTTAAAATTATTAAGTTATTTTTAAATCTTATAATATATTATTTAAAGTTATTACATGAGTATATAAACTATAAGCTGAGTTAGTACCTAAGTATCCTAAGAAAGACAGGCCGTTATTCCATCCTACAACACCCTAGCCCCTCAACGCGAATCCCCAGACCCAGCTGCCACCATCACAGAGTCCAAGCATACCTAGGTCATTAACGACCACTCCATAACCACAGCAGAGGGAGACCCTAACAATACTCTGTTTCTCTCTCTCTCTGTAGCGTTTACTACTTAGGTACTTTATGAAGGCGTCGCATACGTTTTATGTGTATGGGGATTAGAAACGAAACCACTTTTCTCTCTCTATCACTCACATGAACATACACACACCCACACACACACACACACAACAGCACCATCGCACAAGAACTACCCACCCCCATCCCCCCCCCCACAGTCAAACCCGCAGAGCTCCGGTACCCCCTTTCCCCCCACCCCGGCCCGGGATGGGGGGCGCCGTCTCCCAAGGCCCGAGTCCAGACCTCAGAAGCCCAAGACGACACCTGCTTCACGTATCACATTGCTCCACCAGTTTATTCAATACAATACACAGCGAGCGATAATTATCCCGCACGCAAGATGAAAGAGACGAGTTAGTACTCCCAAGCACTCTCGACACCAAAAGTGAGCATGTTGGGTAACATGTTCATCATTACACACCCAAACCCTGCATAGCTGGTATGACCCTGTCTAGTGGACGCCTCTAGTTACACACCAGGAAGGGGGGGGGGGGAAAGAGAATAACGGCCCGCCTTTACGGCTCAGTGGATACTAGCCAGCCAGCCAACCAACCATCAACGCCAAGACAAGGACTCATTAATTGTACATGAGCTCAGGAAGAACGATTAATAAGGGCCATGGCCATGTTGCCATCGGCAATTTTAGCATTGATGCAAAGACCTGTATCTACCATTAACGCCACAAAGAAGCGCCTTGCCCCCTGATAGGAGCAAAGTGCCACGTTTAATACAATAATAATTATGCCATACGTTCGATCCTATCCTCACACCCATTCCGTCAAGCCTTTTTCAGCTCCCCGGCAGGCGCCCCGCCCTCGGTGTCCATATTACTAGGGGCGCGCACACTAGACGCGGCCTCGTCGGTGGCGGCCTTGGTCTCCTCGACCTCGAGCGGCAGGACCAGGTTGAGGAACATGGTGAGGAAGGCGGTGATGACGAAGCCCGTCTCCATGACGAGGTCGATGGCGTTGAGGAAACCGCGCAGGCTAGTGCTGGGGTTCGCGTGCTCGAAGACGTTGCTGAAGTAGTTGGGGACGAGGGTGGCGCCGTAGCCGAGGGCCAGGCCGGCGGTGAGGATGAAACGGTTGCGGCGGTTGAAGGGGACGCCCTTTGCTATGATGGCGATACCCGACACGGCGACACTCGTAAACAAGAAGGTGGTCATGCCGCCGATGACGGAGGCTGGGATGGCAACCAGGGCGGCTGCGAACTTGGCAAACACGCCCATGATCACCAGGAACAAGCAGCAGCAGTATCCGGCCTTTCGGTTCGCGCATCGTGTCAGAGCAATGACGCCGTTGTTCTGGGCGAAGGTCGTCATGGGCGTGATGGTGCACAGTGCGGCGATGCAGCCGTTGATACCGTCAGCCAGAACGCCACCCTGAATGCGACTCTCGTACAGCTTTCCTTCGACCTCGAGGCGTGATACGTCGCACGTGGCCGTGATGTCACCAATGGCCTCGCAGGCGCAAATGATAAACACAGCCATGGTTGGAAGCACCAGCGGAGCGTACACGGTCAGCTTGAAAGTGTGGACCCAGATGAAGCTCGCCACGGGGGCAGCGTCGATGCCAGACCTATCGAAGTAGCCCGTCGCGGCAGCGATGATGCAGCCCACCAGCAAGCCAATGACAACCGAGGTCGACTTCATGATGGGGGCACCGAACCGCTCGCAGATGATGATAGTTGCAAAGACGGAGAGGCCGAGGCCGAGATATTCGGGGCTACCCCAGGGAAGTCCGTGTGGTGCACCGTCACTCGGGCAGACGCTGAATCCCTCCGCCGCTGTCTTGCAGTTGCCGCTGCCTCCAGCCCAGTTTTGAAAGCCGCTCTCGATGAGATTGATGCCGATCAACATGACAGTGGGGCCGGTGACAATGGGTGGAAAGATGCGCAGCATGACCTTTGGCGGGAGGAAGGAGAGGAGAATCTCGATCAGCGAGCAGACGGCGGCGGTACCGATAATTGCGCCGTATCCGTCCGGGCAGGGCAGCTTTGTCTGTCCGTCTTCTGAGAGCGGGCAGAAACCGTTGGCGTACATTTGGCCGAGGGCACCCATGCCCACGGAGATGATGGAGAAGGAGACTCCGACCACGGAGATGATTCCAGTGCCGATGTAGTATCTGCGTCCGTGTGTCAGCTTATCCAGATACACGATCTGCCTGGAACAAATTCGGGGAATTCTGCTCGTACGGGGTCTTAAAGATGTGAAACCTGGTGATCTGGATAACTGAGAGGAGACCCGAGACGATCAAGGCTGTGGAAACGAGGTATTGGGCCTGCTCTGCGTTCAAGTTGGCACCGCCCTGGCCAGCAAGGATGATGGGAGGGGTGATGAGGCCGGCAAGCATGGCCAGGGAGTGCTGGAAGCCGAGCAGCAGGGCGAGCACGACGGGGATCTTGTCATTGAGGCCAAAGAAAGGAGCCGCTTGTGGGCGTTTCCGCATGAAGGGGAGGCTCGGGGTGAAGAGGAAGCCGTAGTCGTAGTCGCCGACGAGGCCGTCCTTGGTGAAGAACATGTGCTTAAAAGCACGGGCTCGGTCGCCCATGGTCTTCTTGTTGCCATTATTTTCCGAGACGATCTGCGAAGGTCCCTGGTCCTCGTCCATGTTGTGGGTAAGGGGTCAGTGGAGCTGACGGCTATGCCTGCTATGCTGTCTTGGTGGGCGAGCAGTGGGGAGCGAGGCGTGACAGTTGTTGGTGTTGGTACCGGTATTGGTGAGTAGCAAGTGACCTGGTCAGCGCCGGAACCACAAACTGCTGTCGAAGTGATCACGACAGAACCCAGCAAGAGACAGCAAAAACAAAGCACAGCAGAGCAGAGCAGAGCAGCTCAGAACAAGCGATGTCAGGATCAACGACACACCCGGAGGACGAGAGAGGGCGATGTCGGTGCTCTTATAAAAAAAACCCAGGAAAAGTAAGAGGCGGCTCCGGGCGGTCGAGTCTCGCTGTCTGTGTCATTCAGCTGTGGCAGATAGTGCTTATCTGGGCGAGCTAGTAGGGGGTCCAACCCGTGAGAAGAATCTGGCTGGGTGTGTTGGTGTGCAGGGCCCGGGCGGAGGAGGTGTGGGCCGGTGTCATCCGAATGCCTGTCGCCAGGTGCCGCGGCGGGAAGTACGATGCAGAGTACACTGGGGAGAGGTCACTACGACTGTAGCGAGTACTCGTGGATCGCACTGCAGGTGCAGCAGGTGCAGCAGGTGAATAGAAGTCGGATTGGGTGTGTCTGGCCTGGCCTGGCCTCGGCAGCAGATCTCAAAAGTGTGGTCCTCTCTGGTGCTGTCTGGTCCTCTGCGGTGCGTCTCCCCCACGTTTCTTAGCGTGGCAGGGGGAGGGAGAGGGATGGGATTGGGCGGATGCAACGGAGGATGTTGCCGGACGGTATCTCGGGAGGAATTGGTGGCATCAGTTTGCGATTTGATGGTCCAAGTCGGGAATTTCAAACAAATTCACTAAGGTGATGTCCTTACAGCTGTGGCTGGGCTGGCTGGACTGGCTGGATGAAGAGAGACGGAAACGACGAGGACTCGATCGGCTGCTCGAATTGAATTGCATTGCCGTGAGAAATTCTGCAGACTGCAATCGATAGTCGAGTCCCAAGTCGAGTCCCGTTCTTGCCCGTCCCAAAATACCAAAAATGGGAATTGGGTGGAGCAGTCTTGGCAGGACCGATCGAGCTAACAGGGAAGAGGGACGCTTGGGATATCTCTATCTCTGGTCTTGGAGATAAGAAGAAGCAAAGACCGCCACTCTGCCACTCTGCCACTCTGAGAGAATCTCCCATCACTCAATTCTATCGAGTCACCACTTCCGAATTCCCTCAGCCCCTCGCCAGCTGGCCCGAAAAGCAATCCTGCACTGCTGCAGCTGCAGATTGCACCTCATCTTGCACCTGCCCTCCTGCCTCCACATGGTCTGTGGTCAGTCTACACACGAGCACAGACATACACAGAAGGAACCGACCACCCTGCCACTTGCCACCTCACCTCGCCTTGTGAGCGTGACCAACTTGGAAGTGACGAGACGGACTGACGGACTCGCATTGTCTTGGTCTCCCTGCATTGTCTACGACGTACGTCCGTAGGCGAGACTGCTTGGGTTTGGTCTTGGTTCTCCACTCCTGCCTGCTCTGCTGCAGCCTGGAATTTATTCTGTACGTGCAAATGAATGGCACAGGCACAGGCACAGCACATGCACCTCGTCCTGCAGGTGCGTCCACGTACGGAGTACAATAACGGATGCCACTGACGGTACTTGTGGTACAGGGTACAATGTCCCAACCAAGCCAGGTACGTACCGTTCATGTACACTCAATTGGACTACCGTCTGGTGGTCCGTGATGGTAGACGCCGCTTGCCGTCCAACACTGCCAAACCACACTTGGCAAACCTGGCCATGCTGCCGTGGTCACCAGAACAGCTTGTTGTTGCTGGTTCTTGCCCATGCCATCTCCCCCTGCTCACCAAGCAGGTGTGTGTGTGGTGTGGTGCACCAACAACAACTTCAAAACACCAATTGTGCAATCCATCAATCTCCTCCCATCGCCGGGGGTCACTTTGTTGCTTTGCCAACTCGAGATTCGCCGAAACGGGCGTCGTGCATTACAGCTTCTTGCTTCGACTGGTGCACAAGATGCCTGAATGCCTGCTCGAGCAAGGAAAACAAATCCTCATCACGGCACATCCAGCATGCTTGACCCAATCACAATCAAACGCCTCCCCTGCCAGCTGCCAGCCAGCCTGCCCGACCTCGCCAACAAGCACAGGCAGAGACAGGCAGAGGAGACAGACAGACAGACAGACAGACAGCTTGCAATCTGACACCCCCTCGATGCCCGTGTCTCACTCTTCAAGCCTCGCGTGTAACTCGACCCGGCTCCACCTGAACCCCTATTAACTGCCCCAGGTCTGAACTAACTCCTCCACTGGTGCCCAGGTGCCCAGCCAGACGATCAATCAGTCAATCAATTGAGCATTGTCTCTCCCCCATCCCGCCATTGAGCCCTGGCGGCTCTCGTGTGGCTGCACTACCACCAAACAACCAAACACCACCCCACTTCCTCCTCCGTTGTCGTCTGTCGTCGTAGCACCAGCAGCCCAGCAGCCCAGCAGCCCAGCAGCCCAGCAGCCCAGCCCGCAGGAACCACCACCACCCCCGGGCCCCCCCCAATTGGTACCACGTCGACGGGAACCTTGCAGCTGAGACCCGCTCGACCCATCCCAACGGTGCCCGTCGGTGTCGCTGAGAGGAAGGAAGCCTTCCAACACTGAACGGCCGAGGGGTCCATGCAGCATCGCGACGGCCTCCCGAGCTTCCTCAGATACGCGAACCGGCACAGCGCATCGTGTGACAGACGGGCTCGGTCCAAGAAGACCACTGCGGGTTTACCAAGGATCCCACCCTCGGCGCGACGGCGGGCGGCCGTCCTGGACACAAAGCACGCACACTCGCGCACCCTCGAGCCGGTGTGCGACAGGTTCTCTCGTACCATCGTCTGTCCCTGTCGCACAAGGCCCCATCTGCCCCCAGGCCGCGGCCCCCCCAGCCACGTACAGGCATGTCACAGCTGGGGTTCACAGCTGCAATTTCGTGTGCTTGGTGCTGCTTGCTAGCGGGTGATCAATTTGTATCCTCGTACACCATCACGTTGCTTCTTTTTTTCTCGTCCGCCGCTTCACCGTAACCGTTCGGGTTGCGTTTTTCATTCTCCTAGTCGACGCGTACTTGCTTGCCCTCCTCTGCCTCTGCTGGCCCCGTCAAGGGGGTTCCAGGCCCTCGATCAACAGTCCGCCACGAACCAGCCACGCCGAGGGAGATTGACACGCCCCGGCAGCGTGATTTGGTCCCGTGAAATGGAACAATCTTCTCTGCCCTATAAAAGACTGTCCCTCTGTGGACTGGAACAACCTAGTCTCGCTCGTAACCTTGCGTTGATGGCTTCCAACTCCAGGCGCGAGACAAGTCCCCACCGCCAACCGCGGCTAGGCGGCGCGGGATTGGAATCTCGACCCGGCCCGATAGATCCTGCCCCGTTCCACCAGGAGCTAGCTTCTGGCTCGCCCAGGTGTACAGGTAGGGAGGGCTTTTGTTTACTTTCGCCAGAACACTCTGGTGAGACAGTAGACTCTGATTTTTCAGATTTAAAACCGCCTCTCTTTTTTTTCTTCTCTTACCAAAACAATGATGTGAAAAAAAAAAACAAGAAAAAAAAGTCCAACAAGTGAATCAGTGCTCTGAGACACACGAGCGCCCCCAACTGCACCAGGTCATTCTTGGGATCCGTGTCTCTTCTTGCGGCTATCGCAGATATGTCGCAGATACTCGACAAGCCTCTCATGGGACCATCCCTCAGAACTCTATTCGGACTGCTGTGCTGGATTGTGTTGCCTAATCAGTAGGATCTGCATTTCTGTGGGGGGGATTGCTGGACTGAGGCCTGAGAAATACTACTGCTACAGCCAACGCACTAGGTACCGTGGTGTACTACGCATTTCCCCTCCTAACGGTGCAGTTGGTGAAGACACTTGACCCACCGACAGCTTCAACAAGGCCCGGAGGCAGCAACCTCTCGTTCCCCACTGGCCCGTCTTTTTTTTTGTTTGCCCAGCTCTGCTTACATGGACGGTGAGCAAGTTGGTTAGAGCTGTGCATAAGGAAAACGATTGATGCCGCATTGGCCAAGTGGAAGCGGTGAAGTCAAAATCAACACTATTATGGAGTCACGTGAGACATTCCATCAATCACCTGCTACTCTGCAAACAGGCAAAGTTGACTCTGTCTGGCCTTACAATTGGCCGTTGTCTTTGCTTCTAATGTGACTTGTTACATCTAGTAGGACCAGGGCCTGGCACTTGTTGGTGCAGGTCGACATGCGCAGATGCATTGATGTGGATACTACTGAGCTTCAATGTTGTTACCTTGTATGCGAATTTCTGAGCCCCCCACCTCAATCCAAAAACCTGTGAGGGAGTCTTGATTGAACTGGAGATAAGACTACCAGAGATCTGGCGGGGTTTTATCTGCTGGCTTCTCATGGTAGGGCGATTACCACAAAGTGGAGAAATGCCCTCTGCCCGGAGTTGTAGTCAAGTTATCTAGATGGCAAGGCCTGCAGAGCATCTTCAAGCTCAGAATGACGTCCCGGGATTCCAATCTTCTTTTGCCTGGGTATCTGGATACTACTTGGGGGTAGTAGAGCGGGAGAAGGTAGCTAACCCTAGTCCAATTGAAAGAAGTCATCTGATTGTCCAGGTGTGTGCCCTTTGAATCGGTGTTTTGTTGCTGAGGGGCCTTGTTGTCTGTGATTTCTTTACAATGGGAAATGGGTGTTTCTCATCTTCCTTTCACGGAATGTTGGATGTAGCTTGGGTGTCGATGAGCTGCCACCTGTTTTGGGTCATTTCTGTGAACACCAGCACGCAGAAGGCTTCACCTTGGAGTGGTGGTATGGGTCTTCCGGAAGCGGCATTCGGCACAGTTGTGTCTTTGCTCTCCCCGTGACAGAATCTAGCTGAGCATCACCAACCGGCTTCCTCATCAGCTAATCTGTCTCGCAAGGGGAGTGGTGAAGGGACACGCCACAGCCGAGAGCTCATCCGTTCTAGCTTTAGTGTGCTGACAATACGCATGGGACTTCTGGACAGTCTGGGGGAGGCCAAGACCTTGGGACTATAGGATAGCGGCACAATACGAACCTCTAACTTTATCAAGCTACGTGAAGAAAGTGCCATCTCCAGGCCTCAAGTGCAGGTGGATGGCAACACTGCTCATCCATGCCAGTCGACCACCTGCAGGCAGGCAGGTTAGGCCCCCCAGCCCGGCCAGCCAGGAGACCAAAGCATATCAGCAATCACCCTCACTAGTAGTTCAACAAGTTCGGGGGGCATGGTCTAACGGTATGACTCCTGACGATGAAAGGCAAAAGCTCAAAGCGGGTTGGATATGACCGCGTGTTGTAAACTACTGTGGAGAGATAGTGTCTGAACCGACCAGGAAGATCTGGGTTCAAGTCCCAGTGCCGCCATTCTTTTTAGTCTTTTTTTTATTTGTTTTTGTTTGTTGCTTTGAGGGCTGTGGTTACCTAAGTATGTGCCTTGGTGCTCTGCTTGTGTCTCTTCTGCTGGTGTGTCTTCTGCTGGTGTGTGTCTTCTTGCTGCTATGCCCACCTGGGAATGGAGCCAACTAGATTCTTGGCCTGTGCCACTATCTCCTCTACCTTTTGCCAAGCTCTTGGACCGGTGAAGCATTCATGGTCACACTTGAAAGACCTCCGTTCAGCCTGTAGTCTGAACTTAGAAGCGCTGTCAACACTTGCCACAGCCCATAAAAGGACATATATGGCTTAACCTTGTTGAGATTGAGAAATATTTGTTGGCTGATCAAAGCTCAACATTTGAGCCTCTGTAAACCCAAACCGTGAAGCGTCAAGACTTGACGTGATGGTGAAGTTTGAACTGGTGACACTCCACTTGAAGTGCCAGTGATTCATGAGAACTTCCCGAAGCTGGCCAACCTCTGCATCAACTACTCGGCTACCAACGCCACAGCTGTCGCGGAACTGACCCCCGACTGCATCAACACCTGAAGGCACAGGCCATTTGTTGAGTCCGCTGCAGTGAGCAGCCTCCTGAAGCTAGAGACGTGTGCCACGCCAATCAGCACCAGCTTCCTGTGTGTTGGTGGCAGCCGGGTTTCAGTTCCGCCGGCTGACATCCCAATCCATCCTTCCCAGAGCATGGCTCATTATGCATCACTTGGTATAATTCCCCCATCACTCCTCAAAAGCAATAGTTCTCCTGCAATCAAAAAAAAACTCAGAGAAGCGTTGTTCTTGTGCACCCACACCACAGGCCACAGCCGTGTCACAAAGCCCACCAAGCTTCACCTTGCAGCGAATTGCCACACCTCTTTCTGAATCCCCCGCACTGGACAGAGTTCTTGCAGCACACATCCGGGCACGCCACAAATCTGTTTCCATCAAGCCACTTGAAATCCCATGTCTTCAGCCCTGGCTACCAAGATCCCGGCCACAAAAGGCCGACTAGGTGCCATTCCACCAGCTGCATCATGGGCAGGCCACGCGAGGCACATCCACATGAGCCGCCCATCCATCCACAGCCAGTACTTCTTCTCCCAGCCAATTGGGGCAGCACAGCTCCGCCGCCACCTCGGAAGCAATCCACACAGCAGGTCTGCCACAGAGTCGGAGAAGCCAGCTTCGACGAAGAAGGAGGGTCGGTTATCTGTTCTTGACCGGATGGGAGCCAACCGAACTACCAAGATTGTCATTATTGTTTTCCTTTCTATTTACGGGACTATGGAGACTATATTTTACGCTAATGCTGCGTATCGGTATTTTTCGAAGCAGGAGAGTGAATGAGGCATCTTAGTTGTTGTGGACGGCCAGAAATAGAGGGTGGCGGAGGAATTGGGATGCCATTGTATTTTAATCGAAAACCTTGGTGGAAAACTGAGCGTAACGGTGATGATATCTCTCAGCATACCGATGGGGCCGCGGAGTGTGTCTGATTGGTCTTGTACCTATAAATCCCTACTCAAATCTCCCCTCAGACACGAAATGCCTCTGTCCACTGGTGTCTCCAAGCGTTCAAATAAAAGCGCATATCTTTGTTCGGCTTAAATTCTTACACCGTATATTCACCGACAAGTCTCAATTGAAAGTAAACGGTGTCTTATCTTTGAACTTGTGTTTCAATTGCAACCGGTGCCCGGCGGCAAGCGTTTGCACTTGACCACAACACCAACACCGTGAACGTTTGGAAGGTGTATTCGACTGTATCCTGGGGTGCCCGGGGAGAGCGTTTCGAAGCCAGGGGTGATTAATCAGGGCGAATGGCTTTGATCGAGGCCATCTCGGCTACCTACCTAGGTACACATAAAAGGACATACCGAAGCATCAACTCCATGAAGTTCGTGCCTCGATCATTCATGTTCTGAGCTCCTCAATTTCTCTCTTTGCATGTTTCAAAGAATCGCTCCATTTTCTTCTTTGGTACCGCTT